ATATCTACTCAAACCACTTGAGAAAAGAACGGCGATATCCCGCCTCGCCTAAAGAAGTATGCCCACGCGCTATAGAGCATCTATAAAACAACGAATCGCGACAATACGACGAAGAATCATATATTAGAAGACAGATTTACGCTAATATATATGTAGCATAGCAACAAATCCTTAATCGATCGTGATCTTGCTCTCGAACGAAGTTATATCTCGGATATGACACTTCGGCTCTCTACCCTTGATTTCGAAAAATGAAATTAGCAAAAATTTGCTCGTTCGTCTGCGCTTTGGCATAGTTCTATTCAGTACTATCTCAATAAAATTATGATAAGCACTTTCATAAATCATCAGAGTAGGAAGCAAGGGTTTGAGTAAGAAATACGGAAAGCATGGTTCACTCCATCCAGCGAGCGCCATGCGCTACTATTGTCTTTCTGTCCCTTGTGCAGGGAAGCCGCCAAGGCCACAGCTCTACATCCTGTTTTTCAGCTATCTAACTAACTTTTCCTGAACCTAGGAAACGAAGGTAGAACAACTGCAAATTAACTTAACTTACAAAAGATACAAAAACTTAGCTCATATTTATAACCTGACTTATATGTATTTTCCCCCCCTGCTTAACTCACTCCTTTTAAGCCCCGTGGCCCTCTACAGTAGTGAGGCAAGGCATTTAATGGCATAACCACTAGCAGCTTCAATGTAATATGCAGTACCGGAGGCCACACTCTCCCGAAATGACGACTCTCTCAAACAACTTTTCGAGCTTCGCTGCTGTCTCTCCTCACAGCCAAGGCCCTGACCTCTGTTTCTCTCCAGGTCGACGATTCGGGACAGTAACCCTTCAACCCTTTTTCATTTTTACCTCCGAGTCGAAGATTCGCAAGCTTTAAGCTTGCTCTTCTTTCGCAACGTCTACAAACTGCCTCCGCCAACTCGGGCTCTGAAGCTGAATTTCGTCCCCTGCTTCGGCGCTGCTGCGCAACTCACGTCAATCTGTACATAAAGCAACATGTAAAATGCAAATACAATGTATGAATCTGATGTACGAGTTATGAATGTACGTAATCTGCATACATACACATACATACCTAGATACAGCTTCATAGCACAGTGCCGCAGGACGGACTGAACTTGGCCTGGTGCAGGAGCAGGACCCTCGCCCCGTTTAATGAAAACCTCTGACATGCACGCTTTGCAAGAAAACACCCCCCGAAGTTCCCGCCGGAGTCCCGACCAACGTTTGGGCCACCGATTTTCCATGACTGACTTCATGCAGCCCGGCCTATTTGGCCTCAACATTGCTGTGGAAGTGGCAAAGTGCCAACAGCTGCCCAAAGAACATGCAGAAGAGAAGGCAGCGCGAGCACCTGCACAACCAACGGGTCTTCAGCCAAGGTAGAAAGTTCTGGAGAACCAGCGGAAGAACTGTAAGCACAGCATGTTGCAGGGTGACCTCTGTCCCATCAATACTAGCACTGGGCTGAATGATCTGCCTTTTGACCCTAGAACATTCCCAAACATCCCCAAACCCTAAACCCTAATTTAACCCTGAACCCAATCCCAAAGTAGTAGCCCTATGGATCCTTTATTATGGATCCATTAAATCGGCCACATCGACTTGATTTTCAATCGGCTTCTCGTGCTTGCGACGACGTCTTTCGGGCAGCTTCTGCAAACTTAACAGTCTCCTCCTCTCATCTAAACGGTTTACGGTTTAGGGTTATAGGATTCAGGGAGTTCAAGGCTTAGGGTTTAGGGTTTATGTGTGGTTTAGGAGTTTAGGGTTTAGAGAGTGTATGGGGTTTAAGGGCTTAGGGTTTCAGGGTTATGGAGGTTTAGGGATTTAGGGGTCTGCATCATCTAATTGGTTTAGGGTTCAGACTTAGCAGGGAATGGGGGAATGGGCTATAGGAACTACTTTTCGGGACCTGAATAAAGGGACTATCATGGGGATGCGCAGGGTTTAGGGTTTAGCTTGCTCACATCATTCACATTCTACAGAAGTTCTAGACTCTAGAGTTAAGCATTACTATCAACCGAGGAGATGCAACCCTAAACCCTAAACCTTGGGGACGGCCCCCACTCAGTAATAGTTGAATGATACTCGTAATATAGATATATTAGGACCTTAACAGTAGCCCTATTCTTAGACTCTTACTGTATGGGGGCAGTACCTAACCTAAACCCTTACTTTCCGACTGACTGCAGGCTGCTCCAAGCAGATATAAAAAGGCATTGCGCTAGCGTGTTTTTTGCGCAGTTGCCATTGAATTGCGGCGCGGAAAACTGGTTCGCTGGTACCCTTCACCCTTCACCGTAAGGCCCTAAAACCCAAAACTCTTCCCCAAAGACAAATCCTAAGCCCTTAACCTTCGCCCTTAAACCCAAAAACCTGAACCGTAGATCCGTTATAAATCGTTGGAGAAACCATAAACCCAAACATTTAAAACCTAAAACCCGAAACTCTTCTTGCCCAAACTGCACTTGTCAGTGCCACTCGGCTATCGACACAAACATCAAGACACTCAGGAGGCTCCAAAAAGCAGAAGGCTTTAGGTTTAGGCATAAAGTAGGGTTTAGGTGCGAGAGTTTGCTGCAAATGACAGCCCATTGATTTTCATTTCACACGTCCACTGCCAGACCCAAAACGGGAACGGCTCTCTGATCAGGCCAAGACGGCTGCGGACTTACTTCGTTGCTGCCGGACCGATGGGAGATGCAGTGCCGCCACTCGGCTAGCCTGCGCTCTCCCCCTCCAAACCCGTTAAAGGTTTAGGTTTTGGGGTTTAAGCTTACGGATCGGATGCATAGGGTGCTTTTATTGGAAAGTCTAATGGGGCCTGTTTTTTGCGTATTCCTTGGTTCCATTTTGAAGACCTCCTGAAGCCTTGTTGACCACTTCGGATTGTGATCAGAAACTAATCAATTCAGGCTCTTGCGTTTTGCTAGTGGCCTGGTGGTTGCTTACTCTACGAACTCGGATGGATCGCGACGATAAGCTTGCTCTCTTGGACGCAGGAAACGATAGCCAGAAGCTCAATGCAGAATTAGCTGGCTTCCGTGCCTTTGACCAATTGAGCGCCATACTTTGTGACGTCTCGATCGACATACAGTCGCATCTCGGACCGAGATAGCTGTGTCGCTGCGACATGGGACCCATCTGGACGTAAACTCGGAGAATCAGAGGTTGTGTTCAAAAATAGGTAACTGTTACAGTTAGTAATAATAACACTGGAAATGTAATACAACAACGTTCATGAAGCTTGTAATTAACCCTGGAACCTTCATCCTCCACCCCGAACAACGAAAATCCCTACAATTCCCCGATGCAAACCGTACGATGCCTTGCAACTCTAAAGCACTCTTCGAAGCCCTTTCTACATCAATACGACAGTGCGAATAGCGCTGTTACAACCCTTCTCTTTGACACAACACCCTTCATAGCAGACCACGAGTTGCAGGATGCGACACGCCGTCGCCACAGTTCAGCGGCACCTGTCAAGGGCAAGGTTTGGGGTTTAGGGCTTTTGCTATACCACACCATGTCAGAGGAAATGCCACAAAGATAAGGGTTTTCGGGTCAATAGTGACATTCAGAACGTTTCCTGCTCGGCACTGTCTACTTTCTGACACCGAAATGTGGTTGTGCGCGTTGCGTACTGTGTAAGATGCGGTTTAGACGAGTGCCAAGTAGCTCAATTACCTGCTGCTGCACTAATATAAAATCAACCTGTAACAAGTAATTTCCCGTCATCCTATCAGCGGCTATATAGGTAACTTGGCTTCTAATCCTACAGAATATTACCGGCAGGCAATTAAAGGGTATAACCCTTACACAAACATATTGCCTCACCAGGCAAACCGTAAGCTACTTTCGGGATGAGGGCTCTGCATGTGCAAGGAAATCCCGACCGGCTGGATTGGACATTGGGCTTAGGGTTCACCTTAACACCAAATCTCCTACACTTTTAAGGACTTAGACAAGAGATCATATTAGAGAACCCTAAAAAGGGTAGGTTATTTGGGGTCTAGGCAGGTTTCGTGGTCAGGGTTTATGGTTTGGGTTCCTTTAGGATTCAACGGCCTCCGCCAGAAAGCTGTATGCCATCAGGACAAAAGCCGCATCGGCAATGGCCACAGTTGCATGGAAGTCTTCGTGCCACCCATTCATCCCACTTCTATGCCAACGCATTGCAGGATATCTTCGCGAAAAAGGCGGTGCAATGACCAAGCTCAGACTGTAGAAAGCAGCTCCTATGATCCAAAAGCCATGGAATTTGTATCCAATGCCGGTGAATAATAAGCACCAGACAAAAAACAGGGAGTTCACGGCGGTGCGGATCTGGCGCTTCCTGCACATCTTCTGGCAAATGAAGCTTTCTGAGGCCTAATCATCTCATGACCAGACGTAACTCATGATGCACTGCACCAGCAAACGGTCAGACATCCCAGAGGCTCCCAAGCCCCTTAATTGAGGAATACATCTTAAACCATATTAGGGCTTCCATTGGTATTTAAGGCTTATAGATGCCTTTATAGATCCCTTTAAGGAACCCTAGGTTTCCGGTATAGTCCTTAATTAAGGGGTGTCGGAGGCTCTGGGATGTGATTGCTGAGCGCTGGACTGGTCCAGGGTCTGTAGGGCAGCTTCTGATTCATGCGCCAAATCGGAATCGATCAGCGCCTGGGGGGTTTAGGGCCCCAAAGGCTCCATGTACCCATATAGTAGGTATACTTAGGCCTTAAAGGGGTCCCTATATGGCTGCTTTCAGGCCTAAGTAAATCGGAATCGATCAGCGCCTGGTCAAAGGGGAAAAGGAGGGACCCTTAATGGGGACCCCTGGGTCCCTATAATGGGCTTTGTACTGGGTATATAATAGCTCAGCACCTGGCTGGGGGTTTAGGGCTTCGGGGCCTTAATAACTACCCGTACTATTTTTTTGGGGGGGGCTGCTTGCTATAAATATAATAGTTTCATGTGCCCGAAAACCCTGTTCGAATTAAGCCCCCTATATTAGGGCTTAGGGCTTCGGTCTTGGAAATAGCTTGGCTCAAGGCTGCGACAAGAAACGGAGTGGAATGTGAGATGCTGTATGTAGCGCTCTGCAAACGGGGCTTCGGACTGAACATCTGAAGTCACGAGAGTAGCGCTATATTTCAACTGCCCTTTCCCCGCGACAGCAGCCGCAGCCCTACCCCGCAGGTCAGCGTGGCTAATGCAGCGAGAAGCATGGGTGAGGAATGCAACACCGCAAGCCACCGTGAATTGCAGCCACCACAGCCTGACCTCAGCCCGCGTCCGCTGCAAACATAGCTTAAGCTTCGGGGCTTACATGGATCCCCAAATTGTCTAGAATCAGACTTTTGTAGACTTTTGGTGGTTTAGGTTTGAGGAATTAGGGGCTATGATGTAACTAAGCTGGTACGATAAGTAGGATAAGGAACCCGAAGGAATGCCAGTAGTGATTATTCAGACCCTGAACCCTACAGACCCTACACCCCATATTACATCCTACAACAGCAAGGATAGGGTCCGGATGTGCTCGTTCTTTCCGAGTGCATGTGCGCTGTGAGAGGATTTCACTTCGAGTCGCGGCAACTCGACTCTCCCAAACACCAGGGTTTGGGTAGAAGAAACTGGTTTGGGGGTTTAGGGGTTTAGAGTTTAAGGGTTTGGGGCTTACAAGGGTGTATTGGGGTTCAGGGTTTCAGTAAAACACTTGAATCTAAGGGATTCTCAGTACTTACTTGTCCAGTATCGTAGGGGAACTAAAGGTTAACCTTCAGAACCATATAGGGGTTAAAGTTAAAACTGTCGTAGCCTCTACAGGGTTAAAAGATATCCACCCGACTACGAAGAGTATGACACACGGTATAGTCTTTGTTTGAAGGGTTTGGAGTCTCTGGGCCGTCCTCGTCAAGAAAGCCATTGAATCAAGGTGCATCACTGAGAAATACTGATGTCGGCGCCCAAACAGCGAAGCAAATGGAGACCAAATCCACGCCTCCGGCTTGTCGTAAGGATGATGGATGGATCGATGGAGGCTGATGGCTTGAGGTTTAGGACTTAGGGCTGGGCCATAAACATGAACGGATACCATTTTGCCGCAAAGCAACCAGCGGGAAAGTAAGGTATCTTATCTTGGCTTTGCCACACGCCCCTAACCCTGAATTTTATGAGCCCCCTAAAATCCTGTAAACCCTAACACCGAAATCTTATGAACCCTGAAGCACTGGTGTTGAGGTTCTTGGGATTCATCCAAGCTTCGAAGCCAGCAGTTGAAGGAGGCAACCGACTGATGTGGGTAAAGGTGGAGGGCGGCGCTTGCGAAGTAGCCTGAAAGTCGTCTTTCTTGGTTTGATGGTCAAAGAAGGGGTTAGGGTTTAGGGGTTTAGGGTTTGGGGTTTCCTTTAAGATTTCTACAAGAGCTTTGTAGGGAACTCCTTAACTTGGTTCCCCAGTGCCCCCTTAAGAATCAGGATGAGCTTTCTCTGGTTGTCAGTTTCAATAAGGGAACCCTAAACCCTGAACCCTAAACCCGAAGACTGATACGTGGGAGCTGAATCTCTCGGAGAAGTAGGGTTATCCTATTTTGGGGCCCTTTCATGAGGATCCTTTTAGGGTCCGCTAACTTGCGAGACTCCCATGTAAGGTTCAGGGCCTCAAGGTCTTCTTTTTCGTGGATCTAGGGTTTAGGGGATTGCAGCAGAAGAAGACAACAAGAACACGTCCGCTGTGCTCTCAGGACTATACTGAACGTAGACCCCGAGCAAAATTATGATCTTAGCTGTGTCTTGAACTTGTACTCACCAAAAGTTAAAAGTTCTTTCTAAGTATTCCTGAGAGGAAACTCAGCAGCTTTGCTCCCAAGAGTGCCGAGAACCTCCACCACTGCTCCGGCCAATGCCTCAATGCTTTAAGGGTTCTGCCGGGGTTTCTTTTCGGGTTCCTTTAAAGGGCTCCGTTGAGGGCTCTAGACCCCGAGGCTCCAAAACCCCTTACTTAAGGAATATACCTTAAACTACAATCGGATCCCTAATATGAACTAATGTCTATTCCTTGATGAAACGGTTTGGGAGTCTCTGTGTTCAGCTGAGAGATGCAAATAAAGGTTTCTTTTGTCATGGAGTATCCTATTGTAAGACAGGCAGCGCTTCATACTCACGTCGCCGGTTTTCTGAAAACTCCCAAATGCAAGTGCGCATTTGTGGGTTGGACTGTGCACATTACCCTAGTCAGGGTTGTACTATCTATAGCTCGGCTCTAATTACCTCTAATCTCCTTGCCACATCCGCCCCCCGATCCATAAACCCTGAACTCTATGCCCCAAAACCCGAAGTAAAGCATGACTCGCACCCCAACCCCGAGCCTGAAACCCGCAACAACTAGGAGGCCCTGTAAAACGCTTCTCGTGATAACTTTACTGATCCGTTCTGCATGGTTCTTAGTATTAGACGGGGAAGAAAAGTTAACGTTTGGGATTATATAGGGATGATATTACGCCAAAACGGTCAGAGGCTACCCACTCGGCTACTGAGAAATAACACCTTGCTAAAACCGTCTTCAAACTCGCCCAAAACCTTTCAAACACCCTCATCAACCCTTCCACAACCCTCTTTAACCCCGCCTCTGCAGAAAGTCTCAAACCGTCCTTAACCACTGAACCCTAAACCCTAAACCACAAACCTTTTTGTTGTAGCTCGGGGCCCGGTAAAGACTGCCAGCGTGGAGAACAAAAATGCAGGCACCAGCCTCGGTGCGCTACGCTTATCTAGGGTTTAGGGTTTAGGGTTTTGGTGTTTTATCGGGGTTTACTACAGTTTTATCCGGGCTTCCTAGGGTTTCACAATGACAAGGGTCTTACGAGTGTCTTCCGGAGGTTATTTTGGGGCTTGAGGTTTCGAGTTGTTGGATTTTCAGGGTCAGCATCTTAGCAGTTTGGACTTCTCGTTAGGGCTTAAGCTGAGGGTGCATTTTTTTTGATTGGATTGGCTTCCAAGGTCGGCGTTTGCGCGTGCTGTTTGCGGACGATGGAACATAAGCAGAACAGCGCCGGTGAGGTATCTGTTTGCTGTAGCATCCCGACATGGACTCTGCAAAACCTGCCATTTCAGGGTTGTAGTCTCTGTGCTGACCTGTCACACACTACAAAAATGTGTCTTCAGGGTTCAGGTAAGCTGTCTGTGCAGCAGAAAGAAAGGCCCCCGCAGCAAGGCGATCAGGCCGTGCAGCACTCCTCGCAGTACCGGCCGATTCCAGCCATTTACCTGAAGCGAGCATATGCGCCGCTCTCTCTCTCTGGGGCAATGTCTGTGTCTCTCTCTCTCTCTCTGTGTTTCTGGCACGGCTTCTCCGCATGTGTGTACATAGGTCTATACATATTTACAAACATATGCATATGTAAATGTAAATGTCTCTGCATGTGTATATGTAGAAGTATATGTATAGGTAAACGTATACGTATCTGTATATGTACATGTACGTACATGTGTGTGTGCGTGTGTGTGCACGCATGGGGGAGATTTCAATCGCACACACTCTGCTGGGCCCTCGATTGCTTGATGGCGAGATTCGTAGGACTTTCGTCCCAACAATGGCGACGAAAGCGCCATGCCTACAACCTCTGCGCCGTAGTCTTGAGCCAACGTGCGGGTGGTCGAAAAGGAGCCTATCTGCCCCCTAAACCTCAAGCCCTGAACTCTCAACCTTGACTCAAACTTCAGGTGCCACCAAAGACCAAATAACCCACCGCAACTCGAAAGCAGATTGAACTTCGGCTGAAGCGGCGTTTGCATATCGGAGTTTCAGAAGTTGCGAGACCCTGTATGGGTAGGGCTTAGAGTCTTAGAGTTTAGGAGGACCCCTGTGAACGGGGTAATTGCTCCTTTTCTGAAACTCCCATAGGCGGAGTGGCAGCTGGCGCCTCACTTGCGACACAGCAGCGCCGGCAGCGCCTCCACTACAGCAGCAATCCGGCCAGGGAGTCATGCGAGCGTAGGGCAGTGCAGGGCTGCGGGCTACACTCCTAAAAGAATTTGGGGTTTAGGGCTTTACCCTAAGGCCCCAAAGTAGCTCCTGTTTGGGGTTCATATTTAGAATCCTACAAGGTAGTCCCAAAGAGGAACTACTTTGTGGCCTGTGGGTAGGGTGTGGGTTCAACGGGGTTCAGAGCTTAGGTCTCGATGCTGTAACCCGTACGACAGTATGCACTTGGTTACTAATTACGTTGTATATGTTGTATGAACCTAAACCCTAAACACAAACCACAAGCTCCCTAAGCCCAAAGCCCTCGGGTGCAAGAATTTGCCCAATCCGAACAGGCACGGATGACGAGCTCCAGCCTGTGTAGCCTTCCCGCACCTGGGCGGCGGCAGCGCTCAAACTGCTTTTAATGGCCTTAAAAAAAAAATTGAGGTACCTGTTAGTATAAGTATACAGAAGAGGAGGCTGTGGGGCCTGCGTTTTGGCAACCCACTATTTTCAGTGGTTTTGAATTTTTCGAGTGGTTTTGTATGTTTCGAGTGATTGCACGTGGGGTTCTCTGAACTGTGTACTAGTTTGGTGCGTGTGTACGTGTATGTTGTTGCTTTGGATGGTTTATAACATCAAGTATGAGTTGTTGTGCAAGTTGTGCAACACGAGGTCTGTTTATAAACACCGGGTTTGTTTATAAACATGTCGTGTCGTCACAATCATGTGCCTCCTCTTCAGAACTGATGTTGTATATGCCAGACATGTAGATATGTGTGTTTATAAACACCGGTGTAGGGGGAGGGGGGGGGGGGGGGGGTGAGGGGGGGGGGGGGGGGTGGGAGTGTTTTGTACATGTTCAAAGACTCCCACCCCCCCCCCCCCCCCCCCCCCCCCCCCCCTCCCCTCTCCCCCAAAAGCAAAGCCAACGCCGCCCTGCACACTGCTCCCCCCGTCACTAGCAGCACCATCACCGCGCCACGACTCCAACCAACCAGTTTACAAACCTCACCGTACTGCAAGTCTTACACATTGACACACTGATACGTTAACTGGATTTTTGCCACGTACCGGTTCGTGTGGAATAGACCAAGACCTTGTTTGATTGAGAAAACTATGAAACCCCTGGTATTTACGGTGTTTCTGCGTATGGGAAACACAATGTTATGTGGTTGGTTGTTGATAAACACCTGGCCTTGTTTATAAACAACAGAGCTGTCCATAAACACAGGGTTCACAATATTGTACACATATGCGTATACCTGTCTTCCCGTGTAAACACAAGTGTTGTTGCTACAAGCTGAGAGGTCCAATCTTTGCCACCTTTATAACCTTAGAGGACCAGAAGGATATGAAAGGATTGATTGTATATCAAACCAAAAGAATTTCTGATACAGGTATTTGTGGACATGAAGGCCATGCAAGATCATGCAAAGGCCTGGACCACGACGGTTCGTACAGCTTTATCATTCCCCAGGCGAGGCTTCAGCGCGAGCGGCCCCATAAAACCAACTGTCCGGCTTCTGAATTCATATTGATCCAGATGCTCGCTATTTTGGATTGTAGACTGTGGGTAACCAAAGCGATAGTACCTACAGCAGCCAGCAGGACATGAACAAGCGCAAACAGGATTTGAGTCATCTTCGACAAGTAGCAGACTGACTTGTTAGCCACAGGCAGCTTTCATTATTCCTTGGTTCCTTGAAAGTCACACACGCTAATACATAAGTTGAACTCACACGAACTTGTTGACATGCCATAACATATTTAAAGCACTGACCTAAACACTTATTTCGAACCCTGTGCACTTTTCCAAATAAGTACGCTAATTCAATACCTACAGGTTCTCCAACAACCGAACACTGCATGCCAAAGCAGATGATGCAATGGTTCTGGTGTTGGGTGGATTGGCTTGATAGAATGAAGAGTCTTGCAGGGATGAGATAAAGGCTCCGTGTCGCACGTGTCGAGTCTATGCGGCCTGCCCCAAAACTTGGTTTGATAAAGTGCAGAATACACGGTATTTACGGTGTTTCCTGCCTGTGATAGTTGTTGTGGGAAGAACTTTGAATACGTAGCCACTCAATGCCTACATGTCGTACCCGTTGACGTCTGATTATACACAGGCTAAGCCTGACCCTGAGTACATTACTCAGGAAAAGAAGTGTACGGGACTTTGTGGTGTAATGCTGCGTGTACCTTTCAAGTGCTTGAAGTTGTTTGAATGTAAATATGATACAAAAAATGGTCTGCAAAAACCCAGGCCAACAGCAACCTGCTCTCCAGAAAATACGTGCCGACAAGGAACCCTAAGGAACGCTCAGGCTTCTGTAGTACTTAGTTCAACTCCTTTTTCGCAGAACCTCTCAACCCCGACGTCCGAAACCCAAAAGAGCACGGCAGCCAGCGACTCCGAAGACCCTTAATTAAGGAAGAGCTCTTAACCCATCACAGGATCCCGAATATGATATAAGGTCTACCTGTGAGCCCAAACCCTAGAAGATGGTAGGCCTTTAAGTAGAGGGTAGAGCCCTTAAAACGGTAGGTTTTTTGGGGATCTAATTCCTCATAGAACCCTTTTAGATCCCTTTAAAGATCCCTTTAGGGACCCGTTTGAGGAACCCTAAGGTCTATTCCTTAAGTAAAAGGTTTCGGAGGCTCTGGGCAGCTGGGGCGACAGCATCCGGCCCACAAAGTTGACGCAGGCCTGGCTTTAGGGTTTAGGGTTTAGGGTTTAGGGTTCAGAAACGAACACCGCAGAGATTGTCCCTAGATTTCAGGGTCTAGGGGGACAGGGCCCCCTTTCTTTAGGGGTTCAGGGTTTGGGGGTTAGGGTTTAAGGGTTTGGGTTCAGAACCGAAACGCCGCAGAGGTTGTCCCTCGGGTAAGGGTTTTCTGGTCGCCTTGTTCCGCCTTTGCTCAGGCTGTTACTGAAACCCTGTGCCAGGGGTTTAGGGTTTAGGGTAAACCGTAAACCGACTACTGATCTTCAGGGTTTTCGAAGCTTAGGTTGCACAGGTTGGAAAGGTTTAGGGTGTTTAGGATGTTCCGGGAGTTTTAGAGTGCGAAGGGCTTTGGTCCGGTGTGTCTTGGACTTAGGGTCTAGGATGCAAGACTAGGAGTGTTTAAGGTACAGGGTTTCCGGCGATTAGGGATGTATGGTTTCGGAGCTTTGGCGAGGGTCTGAGACCCCATCGGGTATAATGGGCCCCAAAACCCTATTCTGAATATTAAGGCCCCTATATTAAAGTACCCTTATAGACCCCTTAAGCGGAACCCCAACCCTACAGTGAATCGTGGCACCCGCAATAGGCCGCGATTTTTGTTGACACACCCTCCCCCTGAGGGACCTTTCCGCCGGGCACGTAGGACGCCACAAAGTAGAGCAGGCCAATAGCCTCGCAAAGAAACCACTCCACATCTGTGTGCGATACTTTAGGTATGCGATACTTTAGGTATAGGCATAGGCCTTCATGCATGCACGCATGCATACCGACATACGGTACGTACATGGACAGACAGACAGACAAACAGACAGACGGGACGAACGAACAGACACACTGACAACGGCCAGCTGGACCGGCAAACCGACAAACCGACCGACCGACCGACCGACCAACCGCATCCTCCTCTGTTTCTGCATTCTCCTGCTGCATGTTGCGCAACGCCTTCTTTTTACAACCTTAATTGCTTCCTCTATCAATCTACACTGCTGCAGATGGAGGCAGGTCGTCGTGTCGGCGAATTCTACAGGCTGGTGCTGGCCTTCAGCAGCTTCCGGATTCGACTACGGAAGGGGTTTATACGGTTGATGATATAAATCCTGCATGACCCATAATAAGGAATATGCCATAATTCCTATAGTTTAGGGTCCTTAAGGTAATGCAGGATTTCTATCATCAACAGTAGTTTGCAAGTACGTAGAAGGGTTGTCGGGCTGTCAGATTCCAGGGTTTGGGGTATGGGCCTGGCTTTTCAATTCATCATACTGATGGACAAAATCCTGCATGACCCTAAGGACTCTAAACTATGGGAACTATGGTATATTCCTTATAATGGGTAATGCAGGATTTCGTCCGTCAACAGTACGTACAGAAACCCGCCATCAACATCAAGCAGCGACGACGTGTTGACTTGCTGAACGGCAGACTGCTGCAAATCTCACGCAATTACAGGATGCTTTGCTAAACTAGGGGTACTGAATTCCGGGTTCCTAAACGGGTCCTAACTACTGTCTAGAATTCTCAAAAAAATGCGAACCGTCATTTTCTGAACCTCCCGTGTGCCCGCAAACTCTGAACCCTAAACCCTGTGCCCCCGGCTTGCAGTAGCCCGCAGATGCCGGTCAGCAGGAAATTTCGCAAGATGATGGTCGAGACCAGAGTCCCGACCTTTAGTGGATGCTGTGAGCTGATTTAGGGTCCACTGTAGGAGGCTTAGTACCTGCACTCTAGTATAGCTCTATTGGGACATCAACCGAAGATTGTTACATATTCTTTCCGCCCACTTTGCTAGACCCGTTTGGCGGGGATGCACTGCAGGTATAGGGAACTCCAGAAAGTTGGAATATGGTTTCATGGTAGGATACCCTATAATTTGCCATAGAAGGGTTCGGATAATCATATTCCAACTTTCTGGCTTTTACCGTATTGCACGGCCTGAATCTTCAGAACAGGGCTCCCGAGAACTCTCAGGCCCAGGCCAGGCCAACGCCGTACGCAATGGAAAAGGGAAGCTGCTCTCTGCGAGCCATGCCGGACAGGAAGGCCTCTTTGCAGCCGAAGAGTTTACTAGTCCATGGTTGGAACAGTATTAAGACTATACATGTCTGCGCCTTCGTGGGTTCATGTACACCTGAAAGTGTAAAACGTTACTCAACCACAGCGAACCCCAGAAAGTTGGAACATGGATTTAGGACGATTAGTGCTAGGTTCCCTTATACTTTACTTTAAGGGCATGAGGATCAGAATGTTCCAACTGGCTTGTATACTGTATGAGGAATGAAGTTTACAAGGTTTAAGGATTTTAGGGTTCAGGGTTTATTGAAAGATTTCGGGTCCTAAACCCGAAACCCCGAACCCCCAAAGCCATAGACCCTGAGCAATAGCGAAAACCTCTTTGCAAAGCTTCACGAAAGTCGGATGAAAAGCTAGAAAATCCTGATGTGGCAGACCCGAAATCCGTAGACCCTGAAACCCGAGACCCTAAGGCCTAAACTTTTGGGAAGCGCGCCTGCGGGCCCTTCAAGAACATGAAGGATCCCAGCCTGCTACGCTGTGGGTTCCCATGGGCATTTCTGCATTTGTTTGAGGGTTGGAATAAGAGTCTCTTGGGGCAGCTTGGAAGGGCAGGGGACTTAGTAAGTAGGTTATAAGTAGGGTTATAATTGGGGTAACTCTATTTAGGGTACTTAGAACTCTACTTATAACCTACTTACCAAGTCCCCGGCCTTCCAGAGCGGGTTCGGGGTTCAGGGTGTAGCAATCAGAGATCAGCAACATTGCAAGGTGGGCTGCAGCATGCAAAAATGGTCGCAACAAAGCCAGTTGCGATGCGGCCCCCCATTCAGTCCAAGGCACATCGTCATGGATCCAAAAGCGAAGAGCAATGCGAATTTCTGCGGTGCGATGACCATCACCGGCAGGAACGAAAAGGACTCAGATAGCACTTCACGGAAAGCGAATGTGCTTTGTGCAACACTTGGCACTCATGACATGTTGTGCATGGCTGCAAAGCTCGCTAGCTATACGAGAACAGTGAGGCAAGTGGGAGCTTCCAACACCCCTTGTTTCAGGAATATACTACCTCAAACCATATGAGGGACCCTACTGTAATTTAAGTTCTGTTCCTTGATTAAGGGTGTTGGAAGATCTAGGTACCTCCTTTGGGGTCCTCAACCCATTCTGCCACTCTGCACCGATTCTCCCTGGTCTCCACGATTCTGAGCTCCAGACCAAAGAGATCAGAAAAACACCTACGAAGAAGATGCCCGCAAACCTGGATGCTTTTAAGGTTCAGAGTGTAGGGCCAAGGGCACTGAGCCTGAGCCTACGTCACAGATTTCTAGGGGTGTAAGGGTACTATGCATAATGTTAAAATCACGCTATAACGGTACTATAAATAAGGTAAGGTTACTACAAGGTACTATAGTGCTTACCGCTTCTAGGCCTGGCTCAGACCTTAGGGCGTAGAGCTTAGGGCCTAGGGTAGCTTCAACAGCGGCAGAGAACCCTCACAGTCCAAAGGACCTACTGACTTGAGTACCTGGGCTTCGGATAGTAGCTATGCAGGTAAGCAGATGGGAGAGTGTATGATTATTTAGTTCTTGGACCCTTAGTTAAATCCGTTTTGTAGAGTCAAAAGAGCCCTAGTATCATGCCCTTAAAGTGAACTCTGCGACTAAGAAGGTGAATGAACTTGGGATTTTCAGTCCATACAAGATCCTTCCGTATAGAAGTCCTCACTAGGACCCAGGGCAGTGTACCACATGTCACCACATATGAGGAATCCCCTCCTACCTAGTTTCTAGGAGGTGCCTTTAAAGCCTTTGAAAAATATTGGTAGGTGAGATCCTCTGAAGCCCAATAAGAGCAAATATACATTGTCCCAAAGCCCTACCTAGCTTTCCCTAAGTTCCTAAACCCTCAACCCCCCACTGAACAAAAAGACACCCCCAAGTCAAGAAGCTCCCCAACTGTCGGCACTAGAGTAACAATTTCAGGGGAAAGCGTTTAGTCTCGGGTTTAGGGTTGAAGGATTTTTGGACGAGGGTTCTGCGAGTGTCTATCTTTCCAAATATACTTGGAGGATCATGGGACTTAGCAAGTAAGCTTATAAGTACCCTAATTGGAGTGATAAGTATAGTTACCTTATTTATAACCCTGGTTACTAAGCCCCATGATCCTCCAAGTGTTGGGGGAGCCCTGAGCAGCACAATGTTCAGTGCTTTCCCAAGCCCAGACCCCTGATTTCCACTTCTCTCCAAACTCAAAACCCAAAACCGTCTACACCCCTATTACCTATTCGTAAAACCCGTACCCCGAACCTGGAGAAGCCCTGCAAAAGCCCCATAGCAGCCGTAAACATCCCTGCAGAATCCGAAAGCTGAGCTTTAGAAGCACTACTACACCGCAAGGAAGGTCGTGTATAAACACACCACGCAACCTTACGAAGCCAGTACAAAGCACTATTAGCAATTCTTTCGCAACCCTATATACAGAAACTCTAACAAAAGCGCCATCATCCTTTGAAGCAGCCTCCAAAGCCCTAGCCCATGGACTCCAAAACCCCTTCACTAAGGAATATACCTTAAATCATACTAGGGATCCTTATTGCAGAATCTAACTTAAGGTCTATTCCTTAACCAAGGGCTTTGCGAGTCTCTGGTCAAAGGGGAAAAGGAGGGACCCTTAATGGGGACCCCTACCCTATAATGGGCTATATAATGGTTCTATAATAGCTATATTAAGGGTATATACCTAGGGGTCCTTATTAAGGGTCCCTCCTTTTACCCTTTGACTTAATTAAAGAATATGCCTTAAGTTATAGTAGGATCCCTAATATGATCTAAGAACCCTAAACCCCCAAACCCTAAGGAATACTCCTGAATTGAGTGTCCCTTGGATCTTGGGAGAGTGAGTCCCGAGCTGGGCGAGCTTGGCGGGCGAGAGCGCCAGACTCCCCAGGCCCTTCAGGCCTTCACCGGCCTGTCTCTGTCAGCTTTAGCCCCTAATCCCTAAACCCCTACTTGGAGGGTCGGGGGACTTAGTAAGTAGGTAGTAAGTAGACTTATAAGTACCCTAAAAGGGACCCTAATTGGGGTTATGGTACTTATAAGTCCCTAAAATAACCAGTTACTAAGTCCCCCGACCCTCCAAGTAGACCCTGAACCTCAAACCCTAAACCCCTAAACCCCTTAAGCCCTAAACTGTTCAGAGTTTAGGGGTTAAGTCAAGTCTAGGGTCTGGGCTTTCGGGGCTTAGAGGGTTCGGGGTCTCGTTAAGGGGTTTATGGGGTTTAGGGGTTTTCGGGTTGACAAGGTTTGGGTTCAGGATTTAAAGTTTAAGGGTTTAGCGGTTTATAGGGTTTGGGTTGAGGATCTAAAGTTTAAGGGTTTAGGGGTTTGCATGGAGGTTCAGGGTTTCTCCAAACATTCAGTAACGCACTTCTAACCTCTGTTTCTCAAATCTGCCATCCTATGTTCAAGCCAAGTACCCGAGCAAACCCTGCACCCTAAACTCTTCAACATTAGGCAGTTGGGTTTAGGGGTTTGGACGTTTTGGGCTGCTTTCACGCGTTGAGGGGAGACTGCACGATGCAATCCCTTGGGGTTGGAAAAGCTGCTTGTTACCAAATATAAATTCGTTGTTAGCTTTCTGCATGATATTGTCGGACAGTTGTCGGGTTTGTTTCGGTCGGGTTTCAGACGGTCTAACAGCGTCCAGGGTTTAGAAGGAAACTTAACGCTGTCTTTTCGAGACAGGGGAGACGAGCCAATGCAAGAAGCGTATCACCTGTGAGATTGAAATCGCTAGCGGGTTTAGGGCTTCAGAATGAAACTGGTGTCAAACGCACCTGTGCCAGCTTGTCCTTTGCAGCACCGGCTACGCTTGCGGCCTTGTCCTGCGGCGGAAACCAGAGCCTCCAAAACCCGTTAATTAAGGAATATACCTTAAATTACAACAGGATCCCTAATATGATTTAAGGTATATTCATAGATCCCTTTATAGATCCCTTTAAGGAACCCTAGGTTTCAGGTATATTCCTTAATTAAGGGGTTTTGGAGGCTCTGGGGACGCCATGCGGGCTAGACGAAGCCCGAACTTTTGCGGGTTGGAGGCCTCTGGCTCCGAGGTTTAGCATGAACCCAGAGACTCCAATACCCCTTAATTAAGGAATGTACCTTAAATTATAATAGGATCCCTTGTATGATTTAAGCTATATTCCTTAATTAAGGGGTATTGGAGTCTCTGGGGAGAGTTCCTTGCAAGGGCTACCATAAGGGCTACTATAAGAGTTACTATAATGGTCTAATCTAGGGAGAGTTCCTTTAAGGAGTTCCCTTCAAAGGGGTCTAAGGGTTACTATAAGGGCTATTCTAAGGATTTAGTATAGGGTCGTAAGAATTAGAATAGGGTTTTGGGGGGCGCCTTACTATGATGGTGTGCCCGGCAGGTCGCGAGTTGGCTAGCGCGCCGTGGCGCAAAAAGACATGACTACAACAAGACCACCCATATACCACGCGACCGTGCGGAAACCCTAAACTTAAAACCCTAAATAACTAACCCTCTCCACACTAAAGACGTAGTCCCCCTGAGCCTGCCGACCCTGAGTCTGTAAACCCAAAGTGGCTTTGTTAAGCTCGTGTGAACCCTTGTAAACCCATTTCTATGTTGCTACAAAGCCTAACTTATGGAACCTACAAAACCCATCCTAAACCTTAAACTTAAGCCTGAAACCTTGTCAACACATCGTTCAACCTTGTTTCAACAAGTAACCTTTCCTTTTTGAACCCGCATTAAGCTGACAATCAGCAAAACCCTAAACCCCTAAACCCTAAACCCTGAAAAAAGCCAACACCTTGCCGGGGGTCCTTCGCCTCCTTCGCTTTCGAAGCCGCCTGGACCTTCGCCTCTGTTGCTTTGTTGGCCGCCTTGCTCCCCAAGTCCTGATCGCTTGGCTACAAAAAAGGTTCCTTTAAGGGTTCTACTATAGGGGTTATTCTGATTCCGGGCCATAGACTTAACTTTGGTTAGTAGGGAACGGAAGAATGGTAGTAACAGCAGTTATACTTGTAACCCATTCCTCCATTCCCTACTAACCAAAGGTAAGATCGAAGGAATTAAGGTCCGGGGCTTTGAGGGCTTAAGGGTTTCAGTACTGATCTGAGGGGGAGTGGTTCAGGGCTTCTCCTTTAAAGGGATCTACTGGGTCTGCAGGTTCCTATATGGGATCTATAGGGGTCAATGGCTTTAGGGCTCAAGGGCTCAACCCGTTGAGGGTTTGCCAGTGTTTATTAAAGTTCCGAAGCTCTTTATGGGAGTGGTTCCGGCTTGTCCATGGTGTGGGGGGTTTGGGTTTCGGAATTTGGAGGTTTTGGATGCGTTGTCTCCAAAAAGGTGAGGGTGGGAAGTCAGGGTGTAGCGACTCTATAAACCTTCAATCCTAAACTCCTAAACCCGACATCAGTAGGGCTTCTGCGGTTTCTGCCATGTCCCTCGTCTGCGGGAACGTGAGCAACCCAAATTTGCTGTTGCTGAGGTGCATTGGAACATTGGTTTGTCCGATGTTGCTTCAGCGATTCATGTAGACTCAATGTAGACCCCGTGATTTGTTAAACCACCTCCGGCCTCAGGATTATGGCATGGGGGGTTTACCAATAAGAGCTCTTCTTCTTCGCATCACAGTTAGGGTTTACTGTCGGACGAAGCACAGGCCGGCGTTTTAAACCTGAGCTTGGCTTGATGTGAGTTTTTGAGTAAACTTCCAGATCGTAGCACTTAGGAGCTTTGTCTATAACAGAACCCCGGATCTGCTCACATTTCCATACTTGGAGGTTCATGGGACTTAGTAAGTAAGACTATAAGTACCTTGACTGGGGTCATAACTAGTTAGTAGTATAGTTACCCTATTAATAACCCTACGTAGTTACTAAGTCCTCCCATAAACCTTCAAGTAGTTTGTTTCTCGTGATTGCGCGGCTTGTCGTCTCAAAGGTCTGTCCTTGGCAAGCTGCGAGGCTACCTGACAAGGCTTCAGAGTATGGTTAGGGCTTAGAGTATAGTATAGGGGCCTTAACAAGAACACAAAAGGCTTCAAGCGCCGAATTGCAAGGCTTTTGGAGGAGGCCCAGGTCCTAAACCAAGAGCCGCTCCTTACTGAACCTCTTAACATATACAGGGGCCTTATGGTAATTATTCGGCCGCCCTTTATTGGGGCGTAGAGTATAGAGTTGCGGGATTGAAGACTGCATGCCCCGGTGCTCATGCTGACACAGAGTTCTGTGGCGGTTGATTATCACAAAGGAGCAAGCAGAAGATGCCTGTCGCTGCGCTTCTGCAATGATGCTCAAACTGATCTTTCGGTCGGTCACGGTTGTGTCTCCTTCTCTGGAACCCTAACCCTAGACCCTAAACCTTAAAGGAACCAACGACCGCAGAGTTTTCTGGCGCCTTTCCCCGCTCAGCAAAAACTTCTCGAGCTTGGCAGGCACGATCAGCGGCGGCACCGAAGCCCTTGGCTACCTGGCGGACACTGTCTGCAAGGTTGCAGAAGGGTTATATATTGTATACAGTTTTAAAAAGGCTTTGCTGTGGTGTTTGAAGAGTTGCATAAAGGTTCCACGAGGGGAAGGGATGCACAAGCAACTTTTCCTGCTAGAAAAGGCAAAACAGCTGTCGCATGTCCCAACACCGAAACGGAGCGTTTACTCCTTAACTGTGGAATTGTCTTTACTGGGATGATATAGGGGGCTAGGGCTAGGGGTTTTAGAAAAGTCGGCTCCCTAGAAATATGGACTGTAGAAGAAGCCGCATAGTGTAGGGGCCTTCATTACAGACTGTTGTCGTGTTATGAATTAGAAGCACCAGATTAGACTTTAGTAGGACCCTGCAACAAAATGAGCGAAACTAACTAGGTTTCGGTTTCGGTAGGTTGAGGCGGCTTTCAAGATTCTAGGGTGGCCCTCTAAAGCTAAAGCCTCTGAAAACTATTCGAAAATCAGGGTCCTTTTAAGCCCAATAAGGGAAAATATAAAATGCCCCAAAGGCATACCTAGGATCTTGGCCCTAGAGACGATACATATATTCTTAAACTGTCTTAAACCCACAACCTTACATTACACCCTAAACCCAAAACACGCACCGCAAGAATGACTCTGGCTTGCCCCATACGGCTCAAACCATTTCGGCTTGAGAAAGCCTGCGATACCCGGCTTAGGTTTTAGGCTTTAGGGCACAGAAGTTGCAAGCGCGTGGGTTCTGAAGACAGGCCCCTCATGAATGTCCAAACAGTTCATCTTCCCCGGCTCTAAGAAGGGAATGGGCGAATGGATACCTATGATGGTCCCTGAAAGCAGTCTTTGCAACGCATCTTTGCAACGCATCCCCCCATGCTCTACTAAGATCCAGGGAGAAAGCATACACTCTAAACCCCTAAAACCTTAAACCCTAAACTCCAAAACCCCTAAACTCTAAGCCCAAAAGAACCTTAAACCCTAACTCTACGAAGAGCCAAGGGGAAAATGCCCTTATAGCACTAACCCCATAGGCTCCAAACCCAAAACCTCCTGGTTACCCTCGCCCTTCAAGTGGGTTTCAACATCCCAAAAAGGTTCAAGGCGTATAAACCAAGTTCCTCAGCAGCGGCCTTACAATGCGGGTACATTTGTTCCTGCTTTTTGGCTCTATTATGGAAACCCAAAAAAAAAAGGGCAAAAGGGTACTACTGGGGAACCCTTAAAGGGACCCTTATAGAACCCTTAAAGGATCCCTTGTAGTAACCTTAAAGGACCCGTATAGAGCCCTTAAAGGATCCCTTATTCCCTAAAACGCTAAACCCAGCTGCTAAGAAGGAGAAACCGAGAGCCTCCAAAACTCCTTAATTAAGGAATATGCCCTAAATCTTATTAGGGATCCTATCATAGTTTAAGGTATATTCCTTAATTAAGGGGTTGTGGAGTTTCTGGGAAATGCCCAGGCCAGACCGCCAGCCTCGCTTTGCCAGCCTTGGACTTGCCTCAGCATCAAGTGAATGACATCGTTTTTTTTTTTTGTTTTTTTTTTTGGGGGGGTTGGGGGGTTTCTGTAAAGGACCTTAAGGGGTTCCTTTAAGGGATCTATAGGGTTTGGTTGGGGTTTAGGGTTTGTGGTGAAGGACTTCGAGTTTACCCTATTCCTCCAAGGACCTCATAGTTGGGGCCCTAGACCCCTTAAGGACCCCATAATAAGGTCCCTGGAGGCATAGGGTTAGGGTTTAGGATTTAGGGTCTTCGGGCTTTTGGTTTGGGGTTTCGGATTTAAAGTTTAAGGTTCAGTTATAGGTGTTTAGGGTTTAGGGGTTTAGGGATGTTGAGGAGCTTAGCCTTAAGGGTTTAATTAGGATCGTAGGGTGTCTAGGCTTTTTGGACTGCCGACGTGGGGCTTTCTTGAAGATACATGGTCAACCTGTCTCTTCAAAAGATTAGACCAAAGATCCTATGCCAACGTGTGTCTGTACTAGGTTGTATTCTTTTCAGAAGCCCTGAATGATATCCTGATATTCCTCTTCCCGATGCTTTCACGTTGGCAGCGGCAATGGCCCTTCGTGGTAACGTAAACAAGCAGCTGCCTTTGCAGGTCCAACCATGTTTTGGGCTGTTCGCCTCGTCTTGAAGTGGTGCATGTGCACAGTTAGGAAGTTTAGGGTTTACGGTTGAGGGCGTAGCCACAATGGCTTGAGGGTGATGTAGCCGCTGGAGATGTGCTGCAACATTCACGTACCAGGACGGAGGCTGTTTGCTTCGATGTTGTTCGACAGACGCTAAAGAGTTGTCCTGTGGGGGTTCTTACGTAGTCTCGCGCTTAAGCGAGCGACGAGACGGATCGAGTCGATAAAGGTACCCCAAGCTTCAAGCCTTTTACCCCAAGCCGTTGCCCTAGGTTCACTTAACACAGGGGCCCTAGCAATTAGAAGAGCGTTATGTGGCATATCATAGCACCATACCTTTAAACTCTAACCCTACAGACTAGTAAGTAGGTTGTGGCCCCATGACTTGATCATACGTCCTAACTAATCCTTCAAGGAGAAAGTTTTATGCTAAAAAATGTCCCCGAAGGCGTAAACCCTAGATCCAAGTTAATAATCCTAACTTACCTAACCCCCTAAACCCCTAATCCCAAGACCCTAAACCCTCTCAACCCAAACAATCCTTTGTAAGAGCGTTAAAGATGAGAATAAGGTTTCGGTTTATGTTCCAGCATGCCTCTACGAAGGAAGCTAACGAAATAGTCTCAGTGACTACTCCTACCTCTTCTCTGGCTATTCTCTTTAAGTTCCTCAGTGGCCCGCGATCAACAAGGATAACTACCCTTTGTCTACTCTTTGGTTTTGATAATGGAATCCAAAGAAACATTGGGCAAACAAGTGTACCGCTGGGGAACCTAGAGACACATGATTAATGACACCCCCTGCTGGAAGAGATCAGGGCATCCCAGCCTAGAGGCTTTGGTAAGGGGTTCAGGATTTTGGGTTTTGGTTTTCGGTGAGCTTCATCTGGTCTAAGGGGCGACTTGTCTGTCCCAGCCCCAAGTATCTGTCAGTCCCGTTGAAGCCTGAAGGCATGGGTAAGTCTCCAGGTAAGTTTGCCTGACAAGGTGCTGAGTAAGGTCTGTCGTCTTCGCTTTTTCGGCAGCCTGGCTGTAACACGCATGGAGGCAAAGTAAACTGATCTGGCTGTACTTCAACAAGAGATCTTCGATTCTACAAAGACAGGCTGTGGGCTTCGAGGTTTCGGGAACTCTCGGATTTTGCAAACCACCCCTGAGACTGAAAGCCGTACTCCCAGAGAGCCCAATACCCCCCCTAATGAAGGAATATACCTTAAATTATAGAGGCCTTAATACAATGATGTAAGGTATATTCCTTAATTAAGGGGTATTGGGATCTCTGGGCTTGGCAACCCTAAACCCCATGAACCCTGGTGCCTTCTCGATGTTCTGCTTGGCTTCCTCTGCTGCAGAAGCCACCTCCAGCAGCATTGATCCAGGTTCTCGCTCTTGGGCTTTTACAGATGTCGGAACAGCCTTCAAAACCACTCAATTAAGGAATTGACTTTAAATCATAATAGGATCCCTTAAATGGTTTTCTTATACTCCTTGGTTAAGGGGTTTTGGAAGCTCTGGAAGTAGAAGGAGCCTCCCGTTATACTCCTTACAGAATCTCTCTTCTTCAGTAGCTGGGCTCAATAAAGGTCGAACTTTCTAAGACAGACCGAATATGTAATGCCAAACGGTTCAACGTTCTCCTGTTGGCTATCTAAGAAATTGTACAGGTGCGGCATGGCGTACATTGCGGCCAGCGCAGGGTTCTGAGGCTTGAAGATGTCAACTGAGCCTACTGCAAAGTGACCGATTAGCACGTAAAGGGTTTCAGCGATGAAGGAGTGGCACGAGCGTGTAGAGCTGGGTTTCAGTGCGGAGAACGACCCAGACAGCCCAGTATCCCTTAATTAAGGAACATAGCCTAAATAATACTATGAGCCCCCTTATTATTTGAGGTATGTTCCTTGATTAAGGGGTATTGCGCTCTCTGGTTGAAACTGCTCTGAGCCTGCTTTCCGAAGCGGCTTGCAGCTTTGGAGATGTTGGCCCATGCGCCACCCTGACAGCAAGTCGCTTACCCTAAGAATCGAAGGACTCTTATTTCAATGCTTTCGGGCCTAACGACCATATCATATAAGGCTTCTGGGTCATTTTGAGGCTTATAGGGTTACGGTTTAGTGAATAAGGCCCGGAGTCTCGGATGTTTGCAATTAATATAGGGGCCTGAATAATTATCTATACTGTTTGCGGGGGTTCCTTATTATATGTATAGTATAATGGCCCCAAAACCCTATCCTAATTATTAAGGTCCCTAATGTTAAGCAACGTAGGGGCCTTAAGAATCAGCACAGGGTTGTGTGCGGCTTAGGATTTGCATGTCCCTCGCATCAGGAATGGTTGAGGAAACAAAGGCAGTGCTGGACCAGGCCATGCCATGCAATGCAGAGAGTCTTCGGCTTTCGGGAACCACCAAAAAATAAAACATATATTCCTTATGGGGGTAATATGGGGACTATTTCTTTTATTCTTTGGGTGTTTCTTAAGCAAATAGTAGGGGTATGGGGTGTATGGCTGATTTAGGGTTTAGGGTGGATGCAGGGGTTTTGCTCGATATGCAGCTTCTGATCGCGCCTGCAGGTCGTAGAGTACCAGGGAGAAATGCCCAACTTCGGTAACCCTAAACCCCAAACCCTCCCATTCCTAGACCCGGAAACTCGATACCATAAAGCCTTGTCTCATAATACACAATGACGGAATATCTAACTAAATATGTTTTGTTCTACTATAAGGCGATAGAAGTAAACAAAAATCCAGCTCAACATAAATTTACACAGTTAAATAGAACTGAATATTTCAACATATCTTTTTTTATACAATTTATTGTAGTAATACTATTTCTTGTAGCTTTGTATCTTATGTATCTTGCTACAGCATTTGCGGCAGCCTCGCCCTTCTCTTCATCGACGTCCTGCAGGAGAAGGGTCTGGGGCGTTGAGGCTTTAGTCAAAGGGGAAAAGGAAGGACCCTTGATGGGGACCCCTGGGTCCCTATAATGGGCTATATAATGGGTATATAATGGCTATATCAAGGGTATATACCTAGGGGTCCCTTTTAAGGGTCCCTCCTTTAACCCTTGGATATGGGTTTTCGGTAGCCCTAATGTAGGGACCCGATGAAGAGACCCTGGCCTTATAACCACCAAAATTTTAGGATCCACATTGCTGGGTTGTGATTTAAACCCTTTGAAAATTATTTATGAATAGGTTCCCTTTATAAGGAAATAAGGGAAGTTAAAAAATATCCCAAAGCACAACCCAGATTAATATCAAGAAGCCCCGAACGAAGACCCAGGGGTTCTTCACGCGCTTCCGGTACGAAGCTTTTAAAAATTGTTAAAACTCTTCAATAATGATGAGTGAAGGACCATAGCGCACACTTGCTCCGTGCACGGTCCCCGAATGTGACTAATGAGTCTGTGTTTATTGAGATTGATACTCAGACCATCTCAAACCCTACAAGAAAACAATCTGCGCAGCCTGTGGAAAGCCTACGGCCAAGGGCAAACTCTAAACCCTGAACCCCGAAAACCCTAAAATCTGCAGTCGTGGCTCCTCAGTTGTAGGTGTCCTCTCATCCTTCGGGACAGGGTCATAGGTGACCTGTGAGACAGGTCCCATTCCCATTCCCTTGGTTTAGGGTTTAGCTTGTTCTTACCGTAATGAGCATTACACGAATACTCGCGTGAACAGCGTGGTAGTGCTTCGCCTTTCTCTTCGCGCTCAATGTTATCAGAGTCTGACTAACTAAACCCTAACCCCCAAACCTTATAAGTACCATAACCCCAATTAGGGTCCCTTTTAGGGTGCTTATAAGTCTACTTACTACTTACTTACTAAGTCCCCCGACCCTCCAAGTAACCCCCAAACCTTCTGAGTGCGGTGATCGGCAAACAGTGCCGCCTGCGACTAGCGGGCCGGCTCTATTCCTGCCTAATGGTCAGCTACCAATCATGACCTTGTCATAAACTACCCCTGTTCTGCTTCTTAAGGCCCCGATACTATAGAAGCCTACTCGAGATCCCTCATAGTAACCCTTATAAACCCCCTTTTAAAGGAAGCCCTATTCTGATTTAAGCGCTACGGCCCCTACATGATAGGCACTGATCCTAGCGTAAGGTAACGAAGATCTGCGAGTCTCCCCCCGCAAGTCGCCTTCTCTGCAAAAGCTTTCCTTGCCTTTTCTGTCCACATACTGAACCTGGGCCGGAGGGTGTTTAGCTACTATTTGCTTAAGAACCACCAAAAAATAAAAAATATATTCCTTATGGGGGTAATATAGGGGTTATTATTTTTTATTTTTTTGGGGTGTTTCTTAAGCAAGTAGTAGTTAGGGTCTCGGGTTGAAGGTCTGGGGGTTCGGGGCTTTGGGCTTCGGGTTAAGGGCGCAGGTTTGTTTAAAATGCAGTGCGCATTTTCTCCTGCTGGGTTTAGGGAACCGGGATTGGGGTCCTGCGCTGTGGGCCCTAAACCCTGATCAATCCCTGAAGTGCGCTTCGCTTATAAACCTGGGCGCTCTCTTCTTTCCGGGTGCTCCTAGTACGGAACTATCTAGCCACCTAGCTATCTATCTACCTGTAACTATCTATCCGTCTATCTTACTACCTACCTAATGACCTAACTATCTATCTATCAATCTATCCACCTATCTGTGTATCCATCTCGTCTATCAGAATGGGCCGTATGTGATGAGAACTATATGAGGGTTCAGGTTTTCGTTTACCCATACCGGTGTCCGTGAGGCTCTGAAACACCCTTGTGGCTCAAAGTGACTGTGACCAATATGGGGCTCTTCATCACTAGAACAAGGTTTGGGGGTGTACTAAAGACCAATTATACTAAAAATGCCTGGCAAATAGTAGCGGTGCTCATTCAGGACTCTGTAGTACGTTGGCAGAACATGTCTTTGACTCTATCTCCTTGTCATATTCCGTTGATATCGAAACCCCTACTTGTCCTGTATCATGGGGAACTGAAGCTTAACCTGTTTAGTTAAATGGGGATTATATAGGGAGTATACTACCCCAAAAAGGTTCAAGGTTGCCTACTCTACTACTAGGCTAGCATCCTTTTCCGTAAGGGTTTCTAGACGGGTTATCATACCTGTAAAGGCCTGGAACAACGGTTCAATAGCTGCTCACTGCTGCAACCAGCGATTTTGCTGCGTTGCCACTTTGGCTCGAGTCTCACGGTGGCTTCTGCGACAACCCGAACCATCATCAGAACAAGACTTATGCAACGTTTTGCTGATGCATACGACGTGCAGGCATCAGGGTTCACAGTTCACAGCCGGCTGATGGCGCGGATCGGTTCAGACTTCACGCGGGCATTCGAGAGTGATACATGTTTAGCTCCTTGGATATCTCGGTCAGTTTTGACAGAGGGTGCAAGGTAGCTTTAGGCAAAACATAATGTAGACCCGTGATTAATGCACCCCGATCCCAGGCAAGGATTACAAAAGCAAAACCTGAATGTAGGCAATCAACGAACGGGGCTCATTAAGCAGGGATCCACATTATCAGGAACGAATCTGGCACATTAAATCGCGCCGTATAGAACAAGAGGACAAGCAAGTCCTCACCCATTCTTCACGACGAGAGCAATTCTCTCAGTCATCTTGTGGTGGAGTTGGCGCATAGGGTTTGGGACTGTAGGGCTTTACTGGGTTTTGGGTATACAGCAGAAGCCAGAAAGTTGGACGCTCGGTATTTCCTAGCCATCAAATCTGGAGAACTGGGGAAAACGGCACAACATATGACTTGTCTACCTATAGTCTCCAATGTGGTTCCAGCTTCTGTCCACCAATTTTGTGTGTAGCTAACGAATCTTGTCGGTGGGCTCCTATAGTCAACGACTAGCTAGCGCAAAGAAGGAACAACAATGGAGACTATAGCGAGCACAGGCATGTTTCTACTTCATGGCTTCCGGTTCTGCTGTGCGTGCGGCAATTTGGCACATACGACATTTTGGAACTCCTAGGACACTTCCCGCGTCCATGGGGTCCAGGTCTTGGCACTTTCGTTGCCGTCACATGTCCAGAGCTCCACCTTCGCACCATCGTGGCCGTCATTGTCCTGCACGGCCTGTCGCGAGCAGCTGCCATTGCAATGCGAACATACTTGGTTCGACTACTTCTCACACGACGAGAATCCAAACCAGTCTCTCAGAAAACCTCAGAAAGTCTTCCTAAACCCTAGACCCTAAACCCTAAATCCTAAATCCTAAACCCTAAATCCTAAACCCTAAACCTGAGCCACACCACTACTCTTCGACCCAATCTGACGCTCCGCACCAGGCAAAACGGTTTCGGCTTCGTGGTTGCCACAGACCTGGGTTCTGGCTAGGAATGAAAGAGAAAAACGTGCCTGTTTTATTATGGACTCCATTTCAACATTCAGGTAACGAAACAGTAAACTGGATCCCTATAACATTGACCAAGAGACAGCATTCCAGTGCAACCACCTCCAAAACTGCCTTGGCGCAACCGCAGGATACGAGAAGGATATCGTGGGTAGTACAAGGATTCTAAACGTGTTCGTGAAGGGTGAAGCGTGCTACAGTAGCAAGCGGGGGAACAGCGTTGGTCCTGTCAAATCACATCGTCAGTTCAGGCTGCAGACTTTCTCAGTACGTAAAGGTTGACCTTTGCGATTACCTGGACCCCAAAAGAATGTAGAATAATAGCCTTTCAAAGGTTTTGGGCCATTATTTCGCCTACTTTTGAGGGTCTAGGCATGCAGGGATTATAGCCGAAAAGTTTGAAGATCACTTACTCAACTACGCAGCTTATTGGCGAAGGAATCCTGTGCCACGACCTCCTGGCAGCGGCTGACGGTTTCACCCTAGCCCTCAACCCTAACTAACCAGCATTGCTCAATGCTTCTCAGCTGCTCCACATCACCCAATTCTGGTTGGAGTTGTCCTTGTCACATGGTCTCCTTAGCTGCTCACGCATAAACCAAGTTGAACGATGCGGAGGGCTTCGAGAGTTGAGCGATAGAACTGATCTTTTGCTGTCACATCTCGAGGCATTCCTCCTTCCTAGCGCAATTAAACACGGCTTGCTATGTCTCACGGAGTGATCGCCCCTGGCCGATGTCGTTGCTGCACGCTGGTGGGCTGAAGGGCCAACGATGGTCTTTGAACGCATGAGCAACACTATTATTATCTTATGGGCTGAGTAACCTAACCCAAAAAAGGTTAATCTTCTCACTTATGGTAGGATTATAATATACACCCCAAAAGGTTAAAGGTTACTTTCTCAGGTATTAAGTGATAACAGGGCCAGGCACAGCAAGATCTCTGCCCCATCTGCAAACTTGTCGTCGTTGACAACGACGCAAAAGCCTGTGTCGACTGACATACCTCCAAGGAGCAGGAGCGAGGGCAAGAAGCTTCGGAGAGCGGAATGAGAAGGAAGAACACTGAAGGTACCCTTGTTGGGGCAATTCGGAAGACAGGGGAAGCACCACAGAAGCCCATGCAGTGCCAAGTCGCGGATACGCTCATCGAAGTCCTTGTTCAGCAAGTTCTGCTTGAAAAGCTGCCCAGGGCTTGACCACGACTCATCGCACGTGCGGAGCATCAGGCTCACGCCATCACCTTGCAGTCAGAGAAGATGTCAATGCCCACACAAGGCCGGTGATGGTAGCGACGCTCCTCAAAACCCTGAACCTTTCAGTTCCGGAATCTTGAATTGTGGGACCTACCGGGGGGCTGCGATGCTTGCGACTGTAGATCCTTGCAGCCAAATCGCCAATTCGGTTGGCATCGCTGGACAAGCAGAGTGTTGGATCCTTAGTTTTGGCCGTGACGGTTGTTTCTTTCACGGCTTAAGGCTTTGGGGTGCAGCTCTGGATTTCGGATCACGATGCAAAATTAGGGGCCTAGCTTGATATCAAATTTTCAACTCGAAAACCTAAGCCCTAAACCCTAAAGAACTACTGCAAAGGTGGTCTGAAAAGTAAAGCATGTGCAGGCTCCGAGCTGACCAGCTTAATAGTTAGAATAGGGTTCCCTGAAGGGTTCTATAAGGGTTACTATATGAACTTCTGTGAAGGTTTGATGACATAGGCTAATACTTGGAATAAAGGTGTTGGGATCCATTTTCCATAAAACCACATACCCAAAGGCTCCATATATACTACCATTATGGAATTAGGTATTATGGTTTTAGGGAGCTAATTCCATAATGGTAGTACATATACTCTCGGGTCCTGGCCTCCCCCCCAATGGTATCCCCCCCCTGACTTCACCCCACCCCCATGCTGCCCGCCCGCCCCGCCCGCCCCAGCCCGCCCCCGGCCCGCACCTGCCCGCCCCTTCACCTGTTGCGTGGATCGGGGGTGTCGCACTAAGCCTTGACGTTTGCGGCAAGCGGCAATCAGCGCAGCAGTTTCCAGCATCTGACATGAATTGCAATGCTGAATTATGAGGGTAGTTGTATGGTGATGGTGGCAGAGATTCTTTTGATGAAGATGACGACGACAAGGATGATGTTGAGCATCGTCTGATTGTCGACTCATGTCCCGGTCTAGAGCAGCACAACATCATGAGCACTATCACCGGTGCCACAGCAAGAGGGAAGACAAGGAGTAACACATAAGAATGTCGCGGCAAAAAGAGTACCACCACAGAACCCGCACCACAGGGCGGGCGGGGGGGAACGGGGGAGGATACCATGGGGTTGGGGGGGGGAGGGGGGGTGTGGCTGCATCCTACAGGAGCCTCCGGGAAGGGAACTCCGGGGGGGTGGTCCCACAACTTCAGCCCTACGCCCTCTGCTGCAGAAGCCTTGATAATCAGAATAGGGTTTTGGGGGTGTATTATACTATAACCATAATAAGGAACCGCACCAAACTAGTATTGGTAATCATGAAGGCCCCTATGCGAAATCCTCATGAATAGCCTTTATAGTAGCCCTTCTAGACCCCTTTTAAAGGACATCCCCCGCAAAATAGCCCCTATACTACATGAAGATTCTTCCAAGCTTCTGGCATCCATCGAATCTGCATGCGGCTATCGGAAGGGCAGTTTGGCTTCTCCTGTGGGGCCCACGCCATCCAAGGGGAACCATACTTGGATAATCATGGGACTTGAGGCGTTCCTTAGAGGGTTCCTTGGGTTCCTCAAAGTGATCTATAAGGGTTTAGGGCTAAAGTTTAGGGTTTCGGTTATAAGAAGGTAACTATACTTGTAGTTACTTATAACCTAACTAAGTCCCATGATCCTCCAAGTAGGGGCTTCCATGGTGCGACAGAGATCAAAGCGCGCTAGACGGGGTAGACCAAAACGGTTAGCATAGTACTATATATAAAGCATACTAAAATGGAGCCGTACTGTTTTTGGGTTCTATAAGAGGTGCTATAAGAGTTTGACCCGCACTTGCATCGGGTGTCGTCAAAAAGCCTGTGAAGTTGTGCCGTGCCTGAACAAGAGCTCTCCGCTTCGTGCCACGCACCTGTCAGTGTGCAGAGCTAGAAGGACTTGAGCTACTGGTCTCTAGGCTAGTAGTTATGTAGGTTAGGATTTTGGAGAGTACATGATTATTAAAAGTTGGATCTTTTCGGTTAGGACTAGGGGACCTGTTGGGGATATAGACCCTCTCAATAAGGTCCCTTTTAAGAGAGCCAGAAGTAAGGTTGGGAAGGGTCCCCAACCAGGGGTCTCCCTCATACGACCCGGGAGCTTGGCGTCTTTCGATACCTTAAATCCTCTCGGGGATCCTAGACCTGGGGTTCCTTAAAGGGATCTATAAAGGGATCTATAAGGAATACACCTTAAAGCATATTGGGGATCCTGGCATAATTCAAGGTACATGCCTTAATTCAGGGGCTTTGCAGTCTGTGGGGTGCAGAGCAGCATGAGGCAGAGAGCAGATCTCTCGATTCCCGACTGATGCATTCCCAGGGCAATCGCTCAGATGACGGCGATCGAACCTACTATAGTTACCCTGTGCTTCCAAGGATCTTAGAGTTAGGGCCCTAGACCCCGCTTAAGGACCCAATAATAAGGTCTCTGGAAGCCCAGGCTTATAAATGCCTTCAATAGTTAGAATAGGGTTTTGGGGCAACATGTACAATGAGTAGAATAAGGAACCCTTGGAACAAATATTGGCAATTTCCTAGGCCCCTGTTTTGCATCTGCTAGACTCCGCAACAATGTTCCTGCTCCGTCACCAGGCATTAACAGCTCTCAAGCTTGAAGCCCCCTAGGCAAGCCTTGAAAACCTGCTCGTCACGTAAACCCTAGCCCCTAAAATCCGGGAACCCCCCAACAAAAAGTCCTAAATGCTCCAGGCTTGATGGCAACTGGACGGGCCAACTCTTCTTCACGTGCCACCACTCAACCCCCGTAGGTAACCGTTCTAGCACCTTCACAATAAGATTGTAGTATGCCTATAATGCCTTGTAGTACCCTTGTCAGTACCCTTGCAGTGCCCTTATAGTCGATCTGTGCCCTTGCAAAACCTATAATACCTCATAGTTGACAGTACCTCTAAACCCTCATAGAATCCACAAGACCTTTTAGTACCGTTGCAGTGCCCTAGCAGTACCGCCTGAGCCAGGTTCAGGGCACCGTCATCACATGCGTCGGCCTGGCATGCTTCGACCTCGAGGACACTTGGGTTTCGGTTACAGGGGGGGGGGGGGGTTGGGGGGTTCCTTTAAAGGAACCTTAGGGGTTCCTTTAAGGGATCTAAAGGGTTTTGCCCTTAAGGACGCCATAATAAGGTCCCTGGAGGCATTGGGTTAGGGCTTTAGGGCGTTGGCTGTGTAGGGTTGAGTTTTAGGTCTGGGGCCGTTTCAAGCTTAATGCTTGCAGGGTTTAAGGTTTTGGGCTCCGAAAGTTTGGCAAGCATAACATACGGCAACCATTAGCAGTTGTGTCACGTCCACAAAGGACATGAAGATGATCGCGTGGCAGGCGGCCACTTCAGCAACAAACATATGGTCCTTGTATTAAGCACCCACAATATTCACCTCTTCTCCGGGCTACAGCGACAGCCTCCTGGCTACTTTACTGATTCGGGGTTAGGGAGGAAAGCCAGAGCGCCGGAATGTCTGGACCCCCTAGGAACAGAATTAAGCAAACGCATAGAAGATGCAATCATGCTTTGTGTTGTCATTGTTGCTGCACTTATCACTATGATTGTGATATGGCTTGTATATGTATATGGTCAGTACTGCCACTCTTTGCTAACACCTCTACTGCTTCTTAATGTTTGTTCGTATTGTGAGTGCGTTTTCTACGTCAATGCTGAACACTGTCGGCACGAATCTGCCCTGGTTTCATGAAGACGATGTCAGGCTATGCCACCCGGTTTGAACGACTGCAAGATGCCTTGCGGGCAGCTGGCAAGCTCCCTAAACCCTACCTGGACCCTAGGTAGCAAGTAGACAGTAGACTTATATGTACCCTAAAAGGGACCCTAATTGGGGCTCTGGTACTTATAAGTCCTTAAGATAACCAGTTACTAAGTCCCCCGACCCTCTAAGTAACCTCACTTCTTGAGGATTTTGTAAGGAAGCCGAAGCAATCACAAGAAGTGTGGCCTTCGGCTCGGGTTCTCCTGAGGTATTGCAATCAGACTGTCTCGAGACGAGCCTTGATGGGAGCGAAGGCAGCGAACAACCAAGTTGCCAATTGAGCTCCCAAACCCTACCTTAACCCTGAACAACCTACCTTTTTAGGGTTCCTTGTTATGATTTCACCCTAAACCCAAAACCTCCCCCAACCCCTAAACCCTAAAACCCTAAACCCTAAACCCCTAAAAACCCTAAACCCTAAACATCCCTACACACCTAAACCCTAAACCCCCAACCCTAAACCCTAAGCCCAAAACCCTAAACCCTAAAACCTAAAAACCCTAAACCCCTAAACTCCTAAAAACCCTAAACCCTAAACATCCCTACATCCGTAAACACTAACCATCCCTAAACCCCCAAACCCTAAGCCCTTAAACATCCCTAAACCCCTGCGCCTGAACCCCTAAACCCAAAGCCCCGAACCACCCCTGAACCCCTAAGCCCCTAAACATCACCAACCCCTAAGCTCGGAGGCCTCAAAAGGTGGGATGAAGGTAGGTGGGATATTGCCAAGTAAGAGTCCTTATATAAGGGATCCTTAATCCTACCTACCTTCATCCCGCGTTTTGAGGCCTCCGAGGGGCTCTGCAAGTCGAGACTCGGTCTCACCGCCAGCTCTGTGTAGGGATATGAGGCAGATCAATGCAGCAACACACCTGGCCGGGGTTCCCTTGAAGGGCTCCTCGAAGGGTTCCGGTAAAGGTTTGTTTTATGGGCTCCTTTAAGGGTTCCTTTAAGCCGAAGGCTCTAAGGGCTGATATTTTAAGGCTTTTGGGCCTAAAGGCCATGTTATATAAGGCTTTTGGACCATTTTGAGCCTCAGGTCCTTTAAGGGTTCCGGTAAAGGTTCCTTTAAGGGCTCCTTGAAAGGTTCTTGAAAGGGTTTCATTAAGGCTTTGACTAAGGGTTCCTGTAAAGGTTCCTGTATGGGTGGAGTATCGGATTCTTGGGGTTTTGGAGTTTGGGGTTTAAGGTCTAAGGTTGGTGGTGTAGGGTTTGGGCTTCAGGGTTTGCCTCCTAGAGCTCCGATGCAATGTATCGCAATTCTTCAGCCTAAAACAACCCAAAGTCCAAAACCCTACAAGCCCAGAGCCGCAAACGCACAACAAGCTCTTGAACGAGGGCTTCCCCCCGTCCCCAAGGCACAGGTGCCTGCTCTGCATTCGCATTCCCGAGTGTTCGCTTTTGGCAGGTCCAAGGGCGCTTCGGCCACTTGTGCAGTAAAGAGGGCTGCGGCGTGTACACATATCCGGTGGTGCCTACCTTGTTGAAGATTTAGGGCAGCTTGACCAACTACAGCTTTAACCCCTCAACCTACATTTTGGCAGGTTCCCCATAAGCCTTCACACCAGGGCTGTCATTGGGCTCTGCAAAGCTACCGGGTCCGAATAGGTTCACCCTGGACCAATAATCCATACCCCCAAGGCCTAAACACTAAAACCTACAACCCTTAAGCCAAGTTAGGGGCTCCTCAGGAGTTATGGCCCTTAACCCCATACCCGAACCGTACACTTTAAACCAGACCGTCAACCCTATACCCAAATCTTGAACACTTACTGTCCACATGGGAGTTTCCGAAAATAGGGGAGCCTGATATAGTACCCTATATAGTAGGATCCTTATTATAAGGGCACCCGAAATAAGGTACCCCTAATTTTCGGAAACTCTAAGCCCTAAACCCTTTATAGAACCCTTATAGATCCCTTTACAGGAACCCTTAAAGAATCCCTTTAAAGGTACCCCTAATTTTCGGAAACTCTCACATGAGGGGCTGCAGTCAATCGTACAACTTGGGGTCTGATGATCTGGTGCTTTTTGGCGTGTAGGGTTTAGTGCAACTAGACCTAAGAGTAACCTAGGAATAAAAAGGGTGCCCTTTTTGGTTTAAAGGGGGTTTATAAGGGAACCGAAACCCTCAAAAAGGGAATAAGGGCCTACTCTGGGTCCTAGGCAATATAACAGTAGGATTCGGGTTTAGGGCTAGAAGCCAGATTGAAAGCTGGGTTTTTAGGATGCTTTAGGGCTTACGCAGCTTCAGATTTGAGGGTTGAGCGATTGTTTGACCTATTTGTCGGGTATCATGGGGAACTGAAGGCTAACACTTTTGGTTATATAGGGACTGTGTAGGGACTATGCTACCCTAAAAAGGCTTAAGGTTCCCTACTCTACTACTAGGTTGAGGGTTGATAGGGCTTTAGATCCTCGCCAGGCAAGAGTCCAGACAGTGACATACCCTAAAGCCTAAACCCAAAGACCCCCGACATCTGAATGTCTTGGCACGGGGCAAGTTGGCTCCACCACCTGCGGGGAGCTGACTCAGATTCCGGAACGGGTTGAAGTTTCTGGATTCTTGTTAATGTAGGAACCTGATGAAGAACGCTGGACCTACAACCCCCAAAATAGTAAGGTTCATATACGGAACCGTAATGAAGGCCCAACGTTTCGTTTTCAGGTTCCTACATTAAGGGGTTTTTGTTAAGTTACCATCATAAGCAAACCATGCTATTTACCAAAAAGAACTACTATGGTAACTTAACGTAAATACCTTAACAAGAACCCAGGTTCCCCTTGCTATTTATCAAGAGCCCTGCCAGTACTAGGATACCCAGTAACCTAAGAATAAAAAGGCCTCTCTTTTTGGTATTGGGTAACTTTATAAGGAACCTAGGACTACAAAAAGGGAATAAGGGTACTACTGGGCATCCTAGAGTATGTCAAAATCCAGGAACATCCGATTCAGCTGAAAGGCAGTCTGTCCAAACTGGGAGTCTGTGGACAAGGCTGGTACTTGTTTCTGAGAATATGTATATGTCTATATAATAAGACAGGACGCATAACACGTTATTCATTCTGTGCGAATCTACGTTCACATATATCTATACATATATACATATATATACACATTACACAAAAACATGATCTTTTTCACCCTAGCAGTAGCAGTCGCCTCAGGCATTCGAATGTGTGTAATTGTCGAAGCACCCATATTCCTGGATACTCCAAACCCACTTAAGGAATACGCCTTAAATCACATTAGACATCCCATTATAGTTTAAGGTATATTACTTCATCAAAGGGTTTTGGAGTCTCTGGATTGGGCGATTATTAATTAGGTGCTTTGTAGTACCGCCTTTGGGTCCCTCATTGGATGCTCCGGTCAGAAAGCACATGGGAGTTTCCGAAAATAGGGTACCATATTTTGGGGTCCTTACAATAAGGATGCTGCTATCTAAGGTACCATATTGGGATCCCCAAATTTTCGGAAACTCCCATATTATATAGGCACCATTGGGTTTAGAGTTTAGGCGCCTCGACAAGTCGAACAGGGCTTCGAGTTTTGGGGGCATAAACCCTAAACCCTAAACCCTAAACCCTTATCAGTGCCATTACTGGAACCCTTAACGGCCTCCATATGGGCCCTGAACCCTAAAGGCCCAAAACTCTATATCCTAAACCCTATACCCCAAAACCCTACTTGGAGGGTCGGGGGACTTAGTAAGTAGGTAGTAAGTAGACTTATAAGTACCCTGAAAGGGACCCTAAGTGGGGTTATGGTACTTATAAGTCCCTAAAATAACCAGTTACTAAGTCCCCCGACCCTCCAAGTAAATACTTAGGAGCCTTTGGGAGAGTCGAAAGGTGCAGGGGGTAAGGCTTCCTCCGATGCTTCCGCGCCTGCAGCACTGGGCTCCATCGCAGCGTCCTGTACCTGCTGGCGGTTTAGGGTCTAAGGATTTTGTCGGGTTTAGGGGTTTAGGGTTAAGGCGTTTAGGGGGTTTAGGGTTTAGGAGTCTCGGGGTTTAGGGTCTCGCACGTCTAATCTAAACCCGACAAGCTCTAGAGCCCTGTTCATATGTATATACACAAACTTACATACTTACCTACATACATACGTACTTACTTGCAGACTTGAGCTGATCGGGGTCCCATCTTGCTAAAAATCTCGTATCTCGGTGCTATGGTTCCTGGGCGTCATCCTACACCCTGAGCCCGAAACCCGAGACCCTAAGCCCTGAACGCCAGACCCTAATCCCTGAACCCTAGACCCAAAACCGTAAACCCCCTTGGCCCTGAACCCAGAGACTCCAAAACCCCTTAATTAAGGACTATACCTTAAATCATATTAGGGATCCTATTATAATTTAAGGTATCCAGACTCGAACCCTGGGATAGTCGGGGGGAAGCTTAGCGATGCCTCCAACTGTACAAATGTTAGTGGATATGCTACAACGCCGGCGCGTATGGCGGACGATGAACGTCGGCTCGTATGGCGGACGCAATAGCGACGAGCTGGGTTTAAGAGCATATTCCTTAATTAAGGGTTTTTGGAGTCTCTGGGAACCCTAAACCCTGGCATGATGCAGTCGGCGGCCTCCTCTGAAGCTGCGGCGGGTGCCTCGAAGTTCTTGGCCAGGCCCTGCTTCGGGTCTAAGGATTTTGGGGATATAGGGTTCTAGGGTTGAGGGTTTACGGTTTAGGGTATAGCCCTAAGACTCTAAGGACTCATACTTCAGTGCTTTTGGGCCTAAAGACCATATCATATAAGGATTTTGGGTCCTTTTTAGCCTTAGGGTAAGGGTCCAAGTACATCTACGGTTTAGGCTTTAGGGTTCCTTGCAAGGGTAATTGCAGGTCTAGAGTTTCGGGTCTACTTGAAGGATCAATAAGAATTACCTTACGCTACTGCTATCCCAAATCCAAGCGCCGAATTCTTGGTTTCTTTGGCACCTTGGCCAAGCTGCCCGGACACTTTCAATTTGGTGTTTAGGGATTTGGGGCCAAGGGTTTAGAGCTTTAGGGTTTAGGGTCGAATTTAGGGCCTCGAGTTTTTATTTCAGCTGACCAACCCGGTCTTTACCTCTCCGCAAGCATCGGCCAGTCGACCCTTGCTGCTGCCTCAAAGGCAGGAGCCCTGCCCTCGAACTGGCAATGTTGCACTGAGCTCCAGGTTTGCTCAAAGAGTTGAATGGGTACTGAAACGCATGGAATGCTGCAATGCATACCGGGCTTTGGATCTAAGGGTTCTCTTGCATGTTCCCTAAACACTACGCTCTTATCCTGCGTCCCAAAACCCAAGACCCTAAAACATCAATCCTTAACACACCCTCATACAAAAAATCTTAAACCCTCAACCCCTAAACAACCCCTAAACCCCTGAACCCTTAAACCCCTTAAACCCTAAAACTGCAAAACGCTACACCCTAAACCCCTGAACCCTCAACCCTTACACCGCAGACTAAACCGTGAACCCTAAACCACTGAACCGTCTTACACCCTAAACCCTAAGTAACCCCTAAGCCTAAACCGTCTTATACTCTGAACCCTTAAGCCTAAACCCCAAAAAAACCTTCACCCCAAATCCTAGACTCTCTTATCCCCTAAAACCGAAACACTAAATCCCAAGCCCACCCTGAGCTGTCCCTTCTCCGCCTTGAAGCCGATCTTTAGCCGTTCCAAGGGCCTGGGGCGGTTTTAGGTTTCCTTAAAAAGGCTCCTGAAAGAGTTCCGGGTTCCATAAAGTTAAACCCCAAACCCCAACCCCCCCAAACCCTAAACTGCAACTGGGAGGTGCTTTTGAAGCCTCTGAAAAATATTAGTAGGTAAGATCCTCTTAAGCCCCATAAGAGCAGATATAAAGTGTCCCAAAGCCCTACCTAGGCAATAGAGGGCTTAGGGTTTAGGGTTTAGGGTTCCCTAAACCCTAAACCCTAAACCCTATGCTGAATTGCTGTCACTTGCAGGGCCCTGGTCAAGGTCCGGGGGATGTTTCGGGGGTTACTTGGAGGATCATGGGACTTAGGGTTCCTTAAAGGGTTGTTTAAGGGGCTCCCTTTAAAGGGTTCTATATGGGATCTATAGGGGTTTAGGGTTTAGGGTCTACTTGGGAGGATCATGGGACTTAGTAACTAGGGCTATAAAAAAGGAAACTATACTTATACCTCCAATTAGGGTATATGATCCTACAAGCAGGCTTACCCAAAGGCCCACAATGGCCAAAAAGCCTTCTATGATAGGGTCTTTAGGCCCAAAAGCCTTAAACTGTGAGTCCTTAGAGCCTTAGGGCAAGGATCTTGAGCAGATTCGGTTTCAGGGTTCGGGTTTCCGGGTTTCAAGCCCTACTTTAAGGGTACTTGAAGGGCTTGGGGGCTTCCGCTAAAGGAGTCTCAAGGGTTCCTTTAAAAGGATCTAGAAGTTCTTCCTCCCCCAATAAGCCACAAAAATACGCGGTTAAATTTTTCGATTCCTACTAAACTATAAGAGCCAAAAAGCTTAAAGGTTCGGTAATGGGGATCTAAAGGTTTCAAGCCCTAAGCCTAGACCTTACGGTTTTAAGGTGCAAAAACGTTTTTCCACATCGTGGCAACTCCGGGTCTGCGGCCCCGCTTGGTTGGTGTCGGCGCCAGCCTGCCCAAGAGGGGTATGGCCCTAAACCCAACCCCAACCCCTGCACAGCCTACACCCTCTGGGTTGGGCCCGCCATGAGAACACCAACCAGAGCAGCCTCGTTTGAAGACATTCGCTGGTAGTGGAGCGTCGGAGAAACCTAAACCTGCAAACCGTGCCGAGCTGTTGAGCTTCTAGCTACGCGAATGGACAGTCTTGCCTTCTGGCTTTCAGATCTGTGCGATGTGAAAGATTCTGGCTTGAATGCCGATCTCAGTTCTTGATCAGAACCTGGATTCAAAGAGCCAGAGGTATTGCGGGACTGAAGCAGTGCAGCGAGCATTGCCTTGTCAAAACCAGCTCTACTGTATGGTTTGTGTCTTAGGGAGTTCAGGGTTCGCTGGCCCCCAAACTTTCAAACACACCATCGCCACAAACAGGACCACAAACTCGAAGAAGCCAACATCCGAAACCAGCAGGACCGCCACAATCACAAGAGCGCCACCATGACCAAGACCACGGCCACTGCTTCCTACTACTACTACTACTACTACTACTACTACTACTACTACTACTACTACTACTACTACTACTACTACTACTACTACTGCTACTACTACTACTACTACTACTACTCCTACTCCTACTCCTACTCCTACTCCTACTCCTACTCCTACTCCTACTCCTACTCCTACTCCCGCCCCTGCTGCTGCTGCTGCTGCTGCTGCTACTGCTATTGCTATTGCTATTGCTATTACTACTGCTGTTGCTACGGCTGCTGCTGCTACTACTACTATTCCTGCTGCTGCTATTGCTATTACTACTGCTGTTGCTACGGCTGCTGCTGCTGCTGCTGCTCCTACTACTACTACTACTACTACTACTACTACTACTACTACTACTACTACTACTACTACTACAACTATTAATACTACTATCACTACCACTACTGCATAGCAGCAGCATCAGCGGCAACAACAACAAGAATATATAGGTGGATTTCTCGGATCCAAAAAAGAAAAATGTCAAAGAGTTTTCGCCTGAAGCATGAACATGTACTAGACTTTGGATCACTGTTCACTATTCCAAGCCTCCTTTCCAGTCAGTCTACGCTGCTTTTGCGAAACAGGAGTGCATCTGAAAGACTGGGTTCGAAGCCATTGCAACACCAAGTCAGAAAGAGCAACACCAAGCAGTAACAAAAAAGACAAAGGCCCCTTCTGCTTCCCAAAGACTCTAAAACTTCTTGCTTAGGGTATCTAGCTTAAATCATGTTTTAGATCCTTTTGAAGTTGTAACTTAAGGTATATTCCCATAACTACGGGGTTTGGGAGTCTCTGGGTTCGTACATGCCCGTACACCATCTTCACTCTTGCAGCTGCCTACCACCTGGGGCTTCTGTGAATGCAAAGCCTGGGAGGTGATGATATAATACTCATATATATATATATATATGTGCATCTGTATAAGTTTACAGGCATGGGTATTCGTGTGCATGTATGTATGCAAGGGGTGGATGAATGAATGAACGAATGCAAAAACGAATGAATGGTTGAATGAATGAATGTATGAATGAATGGATGAATGAATGAATTAGCGAATGAACGAGCGAAGGAATGAATGCATGAGTGAGTGCGTGAATGAACGAACGTATTAACGAACAAATGTGTATGTATGTATATCCATAGGTACATGTGTATATTAGATGTAAAGACAATACTACAAGACAGTTGCAGCCACGCGGCCAATGACAACCTCACTTTGATCAGCCTACTCAACCGTAATGACCACCACCATCACCAGCACGAGCTCTTGACAACATGAAGCTTGTAGTTCAGCGATGCTTCCCCCCTCCCCCATTTTTGTAGCACTGCGCATCGCAGCGTCGCTAGAGTTGCAGCTGCGAACCGTGCCATTTACGGTGCTTATACGGGCTTCTACATAGGTTCCGAGGGATTACATGAAGTATCTAATATCGCAGAACAAAGATCGGCCGGCAGTGCCGACGCAGGGAAGGATTCGAACTACAGTAACTACCATTCCTTATGGCACTCTCGATCTTGATTCAGACATGGTTTATTCAGAACAGCATCGTTACGACATGGGATGACTCTAACATACTTTAACAGTGGACCTCGCAGGACGCAGCTGCCGGACATAACCAGTCTATTCAGAAACAGATACCGCGCGCTCTGCTCAGCCACTTCCACCGCCGCCTCCGCTGCCCTGCGCCGGACAAGCGAGTCTGCCTACGGAACCCGTAACGCCTCTTCGATAAGTTTTTGATGGTTTGAAAACTTCAGACATCCGTTTAGTTTAATAAAGATCCCAAATACTTGGATCGGTAATTATGAGGACTACTACTTACGATGACCGAACTGTAAGGCTTGCAAGCAACCCCCCCAGATTGGAATAAAACCAGCCAGTTGTAGTTCAACCGGCCCTGGGTCTCATAAGATCCTGCACTGCATCTTACTGCCAACCAACTTCACTGCTGCAGCCTATCTAGTGTCTTCGGTTTAACGCGGCTCACGGCTTCTGTTTTAGCGACTTCCTCCATACGCTTTAAATTTTATGGCCCAGCGGATGGCAAATTAAACCCTGTAAACCCTTAACCCTAAACCCAACCTAAACTCCCCAACTACCCTCTATTATCCCCCAAATACCCACTACTGTTGATGATATAAATCCTGCATTACCTTAAGGAGCCTAAACTATGGGAATTATGCTACATTCACAGTACATTCCCTCTTATAGGTAATGCAGGATGTAAATTCATCAGCAGTATTAAAAGGGCCATAAGGGATCTATTAAAGGGCACTTGGGGGGGGTCCTGGAAGTTGAGGGATCCGGCAGCCCCTACCTGGACCCTAAAGAGCCTACTCTTTTAGGGTTCCCTATTATGACCCTCCTTGTACCCTCAAATACGCCCAAATAAGGGTACTTGGAGCATCATCGGACTTGGTAAGTAAGGTTATAAGTACCCTAATTGGAGTTATAAGTATAGTTACCTTATTTATAGCCCTAGCTACTAAAAGTACCCTTTTAAGGTTCCCTATTATGACCCTCCTTGTACCCTCAAATAGGGGTATATGGTCCCAAATAAGGGGCATTTAGGGCCCTGTTAAGGTTCCCTATTATGATTAGGGTTTAGGGTTTAGGGGTTTAGGGACTAGGGTTTAAGGGTTGAGGGATGAGGGGTTTTCGGGTTCTCTTTCATGATTTCCTTACTGTACAAGACTTTGAAATGCTAGGTTGCCTGGAGTTAAGGTAAAACCGAAACCGCGCAGCTTCACCAATGTACCTTTAAGAAGGGATATGTCCCTGAAGCCTTGGAAGTACCTTGGTTACTCAAGGTACTAAACCCTTCACCCTCGCCTTGCCCCGTCTCTTTCTCTTCGCCGCCGACCTCGGGAGACAACGGCAAAACGAAGCGAGACAGTGTCAATATCTCTGGAGATGCTTTATGGGTTTATGGGGTTCCTTTTAGGGGATCCTTTACAAGGGATCTACACTATAAGGGCAGGGTTTAGGGTTTACGGGTTTAGGGTTTGGGGGTTCAGGGGTTTAGGGATTTCGGGCCGCGGGTGTCATGCATGAGAGTTCCTGCACAGCAGAGACCCAGCGACTCCCAAACCACTTACACCTGAAAGGGCTCCTTACGGGATCTTGAAAGGGATCTATACGGGCATCCCATAAGGAATATACATTAAATCATACTAGGGATCCGATTATACTTTCATGTATACTCCCCAAGTAAGGGCTTTTGGAGTCTCTGGGGACCTCAAACCCCAAAACCCTTAACCGGGGTGCCAAGCTGCTGGGAAGGCTGCGACTTGTCGCCGGTGGAGGGTGTAGTGCTGATGTTCTTCGGGAGCTTGAAGCCCTGGCGCCAGATCCCAAACAAAAGCCCCAGTGCCGTAGGTAATTCCCTAACCATGAACTATAACACCCTTAATAATTGGAATACGGTTTTGGGAGCCAGTATACTATAAACATAATCAGGAACCCCCTAAAATAGTCTAAGTAATTACTAAGGCCCTTATCGTAAGTCCGATTGTCCCGCAAGCGCCCCAAAAAAGTCGAGACAGCACTCTGCCCCCGACGGCCCTTTTTTCGGCTCTGCAGCTGTTCAAGGCTGGGCTGGGGATCCAACAAGCTACCCTTTTTGGGTTTAGAAGTTTAGCGGTTATGTACCCTATGATTAGCTATCTTTCAGAGGATATAACCTACTACCGTTTGAAAGGTTATGTACCCTATAACTAATTGTCAGTAAAGGGGGTTACAAGTTATAACCTACTAGGTGTTCTATGTAGTTCCAAGGGCAGATGCCAAGACGCTTTGGTCCTCGCAAGCTGGCAGAAAACCTTCCCTAGCTTCACTGATTCACTGGCCCAAGCGAAGACCAAACGTTAAACTCCAAACCCGAAACCTTACCCAGACCGCATCACTACCCTCATGAAAGGGCACTTGGTTTGGGGGCCCATAATACTATAATGATAATAAGGACCCCCCCAAAAAAAATAGTATTGGTAATTATTTAGGCCCCTACAGTAACCTTGCTGCGTTTCTGTTCGGCTGAGTTGGAGATTGCCTGGAGGACTTGCACAGCAGCCGTGAGCTCCTGATCGCGAGCATTCGGGGGATTTGGGTTTAGAGTTTAGATTCCCAGGGGGAGGGTTGATCCCTAAACCCTAAACCCTAAACCCTAAACCCTAACCCCTAAACCCTAAACCCTAAACCCTAAACCCCCTTTTCCCCAGTGCCCCGACAGGTCTGAGAGGGTTGAGGGCTTAGAGATGAGGATTGCAGCTTCAGGTTTGGGGATTTGGGTTTGGAGTTTATAGGGGCTAGGGCTAGGGTTGAGGGTTTAGAGCTTAGGGTTACGGCTTCAGGTTTAGGGTAGGGCTGAGGGCTTAGAGCTTAGGGTTACGGCTTCAGGTTTAGGGTAGGGTTGAGGGTTTAGAGCTTAGGGTTAGGGCTTCAGGTTTAGGGTAGGGTTGAGGGTTTAGAGCTTAGGGTTAGGGCTTCAGGTTTAGGGTAGGGCTGAGGGTTTAGAGCTTTGGGTTAGGGCTTCAGGTTTAGGGTAGGGCTGAGGGTTTAGAGCTTTGGGTTAGGGCTTCAGGTTTTTTTCCTTGGGGCAGGCACAGGCTCCAAGGTTGACCCAAAGCCACAGGAGGCGGGGGGCGCTTCCCTCCAGTGGATCTGATGCACAAACAAGTGACTCGACAACTGGCAGAGACAGACATTGGGATGGAGGAATGCATCCATAGACAGATGGATAGATGCGTTTGGTTTTGCTTAAGCGCTTGCAGCGTTAGTTCTACCTCGCTGCATGTGTTTTCTGCCTGCTGCGGAGAACATGATGTTCGAACTTTACCTAGACCGATAATTACCCTAAAGCCTGAACCCCTACAGCCTTAACCCTAAACCCTGAACCCCAAAACCCCCTAAATCCCCCTAAACCCTAAACCCTCAACCCCTGCAGCCCCTAAACATCAAAGTCTGGAGGTTGGGAGCAGGCTTTGCTAGCCTTTGAACACCCTGAACCTTAGGACTTAGTTGTCCAGTTCACTAGGCGGTCAAAAGGTTAGCCTTCGGCACTGTATGATGATGTCGATACGCCGAAAAAGTTAAAGGCTATATACTTGGAAGGGTTAGGGTTTAGGGTTTTAGAACCCTAGACCCTAAACCGCCTTCGACAAGTAAGAAACCCTAAGCGCTGAACTCCGTAGTCCTGCATCTGCTCAATTTCCTTGATCATCTTGGCATTCTCCGCCTCAATTCTGGCGATGTCCTGCAGAACCCAGAGCCTCCAAAACCCCTTAATTAAGGAATATACCCTAAATTATAGCAGGATCCTTTATATGATTTAAGGTCTATTCCTTAATTAAGGGGTTTTGGAGGCTCTGGGAAGCGGCTCTCTGCGCAAACCCGAATAAGCCTCGGGTTCCTTCAAACAAAGGGGCTTTCCCTATGAAAGACGCACCGCCGGGTGGGAAACTATAAGGACTCCCCTGAACTTTGAAGGTTTACGGTTTTGGGTTTAGGGTTTAGGGTCCCAACCTCTTACACCCTTAAACCCTCCTTGGAGGATCATGGACTTAGTAACTGGGCTTATAAATAGGGTACCTATACTTATAACTCCAATTAGGGTACTTATAACCATACTTACTAAGTCCCATGATCCTCCAAGTACGTGCTAAACCCTGAACCCCTTGAACCCCCAAGCTCTTGACCAGCCCTCTAATAACAAGGGTACCCTTTTTCCTACCATTTCGTTTTAATGAGGGACGCCATAAAGAAGAACAGGTGCAAAAAGGTACTACTGGAGTATACATTCAGACATTGGTATATGGGTAAATGGATGCATGGTTCGATGAACAATGGTTGGATCAATCAATGGATAAGGTTTCTAGGTTCTGTGTACAGGGTTTTTAATGTGGTTGGAGTTTCTCGGATGTTGAATTGCGTCTGGGGTTTATATAGGGTTTACGGCTGCACTGGCTTACAGCTTACTTGTCCAGTTTCCTAGGTGAACGAAGGGTTGCAAAGTTGGGGGTTCTGATGGTACCATCAACATGCCAAAGCGTACGAACTCTACTACCCAGCTTCCTCGACCTTTCCCTGCCGGCCGGCCATACAAAACAGCCATGACATTTAGGGTTTTGGGTTTAGGGTTTAGGGTTCATGAACAATCTGCTGTGGGGTTGGTGCTGTAGCTTTTGGACAACTCTGTGCACTCAGCTACTGCTTGGCGTCCTTCGTCGAGGAAGAGCTTTTTGCTCCACTTTTATCCTGACGGATCAGAGCTCACGACCGCAGGCGGCACCATTTCACGAAAACCGGTTTGAAGTGAAACTGCAGTCAAGACTGGGTCCGGAACTAGACTGACAGTTCACTTTCGTGCTACGGAGTGAGCCACGATGGTACAGCACAGCTAGTTCATGGTTTGGGTAGTATTAAACATGTACATTGTTATTCCTCATTGGGTTCAAGCAGTCATAAAACTGTGAAATGTTACCCAACTATGACAAAGACAGCAGCGACTGGAAGATGCCTAAAGCCCACAGCAGTTCGAGGCGTCACCCCCTTCGATGGACTCGCCTCCCCAGGTGGAGACTTGACGGCCTGACAAGGCATCTGTCTGGTTCTTAGTAAGGAAAAGGGTTCCTTTCAGGGTTCCTGTAAAGGGTCCTATAAGGTTCTTTAAGGGTTCTATGAAGGGTCTAAGGGTATCTATAGCCCCTGTCTGGTTCTTCGTAGGGAATGGGGGAATGGATCCCGAAAGTAGTCCCTATATAATCCCCAATAATAGTCTCCAGACTCCATTCCCCCATTACCTACTCAGAACCAGACAGTAGAGTCTCCAGTGTAGTCCTTGCTTCATTTTACCCTGCTGTGTACAGGATCCGGGCCACGCAGCCGCTTCACCAAAACACGGAACTACAATGGAGACTCTAGGTATTGTGGCTTCAAGCTTCTCGTGACATGAATCGGACCTGACATGCAGTTCCTAGCAGGGCTTATCTTCATGGTTATCCCCTCCTGGTCCCTTTGAGCAGGATCCCGGAATATACTTTAGGACCCCATTCTAACTTTTGCACCACACTGAACCCCAGACACCACTATTCGTTAGACATAGCTTCTCTACACGTAGAGACTTCTCGCCTCGTGCAGCCAATCGAGGAGCAGCTTTGTTTGCTTTGACCCGAAGAAGTGCTGATTCTGCCTCGGCACTGGTTTACTTGTCTCTTCATGGCCTTTTAACTTAAGCTGCCAGGAGAAGGGAACCCTACGATTTTCTATAGATCCCTTTTCTGATAACTTAACTACCTAAAGTCCTTAACCCAGTTTAGCGGTTTACGGTCTAGGGGTCCAGGTGTCGCTTTTGGAGCTCTGGATTGAAAAGGCCACTGGTGTCCTTGCACGACCTCGCTTTCGCCGTAAAGGACACTCAATATATGCTTAGACTAGAGCGTGGGGGTTTATTGACTATATCCGGCCGAGAATGTCTACCAAACACTGAGACCTCTCGAGTACAGGTGTGTGAACATGTCAACTGTTCTTCGCGAGAACTGACGGCCACGCATTGTCGACAGCAGCGCGATGTAGTCATAGTAGAAATTCGGGTCCCTGTCACACCTTGGGTGTCGCGTGTATTTGGGGCTTGGGGCTTTTAGGGTTTAGGGCCTCGGGCTTGGCTGCAATATTGCCTGTAGCAGTCTTGCGATCCGGCACTCAGCAAGAAGAGGCACAACTTGCACTTCGCCCTGTAGCTTGGCGACTCACTTTCCGCCAGCAAAGGCCTTTTTGATCTTTTGGACTGCCTGCCGGCTCGATCAGCTAGGGCCATGGACTCAAAGGGTCTTGGGTTGAGGGTCAGCCTGTCAGCATGTTGTGTGAGGGTCGGAAAACAAAGTGGTGTTGTTTAACCCACTAACTCTATTAATTTGTTGGGATGCAGGATGTATAGGTGCATGCTTCATTTAGACCAGGGTTTTGGGATATCGCAGACCCAGGTGTGAGTAAAGAATGGCATTATGGGGTATCTTATACTATCCCCTAATATGGGCTGAGGTATGATGCCTTATGCAAAAACTCCGTGGAAGCTCATACAGGTGCCTTGAAGAGCAGTTCGGTCGTGCTGTCGTCGAGGTCTTCCTTGCAGCAACAAGTTGTCCCATACAGCCCTATAAAATCCGACGGAAGTGTGTGGAAACGCTGGAGAAGCCAACACTTAACCCTAAACCTCGAACCCCAAACCCTCAACCTTAAACCGAGAGCCTACATAAGCCCCTGAACACTGAAGTTCTGAAGAGCCGACAGAAGCCCCTCAGAAGACTATGCAAAAGTCCTTTGGAGACCAATGTAGAGATGCCCCTGAAACCCCAGAGAGGCCTTATGAATATGAGAACCTTGCAGAACCCTTGTCGAAACCCGTTGAAAATACACTACCGACACCCAGCTAAACAGAAAGACACACAGAAACCCGTTTTGAATCCATCAAGCACAATTTGGAGAACCCACCGATTCTGATTATGTTGAAGGCCGCGTGGTCGCAGTCTGCTCAAAGGATCATGAGACTTAGTGCCAAAGGTTACAAATGTGGTGACTCTACTTACGACTGCATATCACGCTCAACTAAAGCACTTACAGCTAAGTTCTGAAGCTACGTCTGAAGTCCCCCAAGCCCTAAACCTCTTCTATAGAACCCATGTTGTCACCGTATAGCTAAATTCGCGGCCCTTCTGGCTGATGAGATTCTTGTCACTTCTGGGTCCAGCAAAAAACGACTCCTAGACTCTGTATATGCGCATGCAAAATTCAGATCCCAAGTGGCTCCTCAACAACGCAATAGTTCATAGATTAATCAAGCTCGTATCACATCTTATGGCTTATGGGACGGACCCGTTGGGAAAAGCCCTAAAGGTAACCAGCATTGAGCTCTTGTCAGTATGGGTCCAATCGAAACCCGTAATTCCTGTCACACGCTCTCGTCCCTTACCCTTGCGGATGCCGTTCTCCCTTATGGGTCCTTCAACAAAAGGGCCCTTAATCGAAAAAAATAAAGTTGTTCAGCGTGGGGCAGGTCTTAGATCAAAGGCAAACAATACTTCATAGTACCCAAGAAACCACCTTAAGGGTCTATCACCTCGAAGTTTTCTGGAATCTCTCTCCCGCAAACCCCAAACCTAAGATCCTTCCCAAAACCCCTGGCCCCTAAACACAAAGAGCCTGAAAATCGTTGTAGTAGACCCTAAACCCCAAGCCTCGGTTTGGGGTTTAGGGTTAAGGGAGCCCCTCAATCCCTAAACCCTAAACCCTAAACCCTAAACCCTAAACCCTAAACCCTAAATCCTAAACACAGCACCCAAAGGGCCTCCTCAGGAAGGTTGAAGATGGCTTCGTTCAGCCTCTCGCCCCACGAGGCCCTCGACCCCCAACCCGGCAAGTCTGTAGGGTTTAGGGTTTAGGGTTTAGGGTTTAGGGTTTAGGGTTTAGGGCGTCTCGCCGCGCAGCGGCAGTATTTTCTATGTAGGATGGCGCCCCAACACTCCCAGGGGTGTGGGGGGGGCGGCATATCGACGTTTAGCGTTCGAATGCGATTCCACCACTAAACAATTACACATTGGTTCCTCACTTTTTCCGGCCCGCTGTGAGAATACACAGGCTACCACCCAAAACATTGCCTGGGTACGGCCTAAGCAGGCCTGGGTGGGAATTTAGGGTTTAGGGTTTAGGGTTTAGGGTTCAACCTCTCAGCGATGAACCCTAAAGATTTCAACCTCAAGCCCCAACTCCTGAACAGCAATGAGTACAGCACCCTTATAAAAAAGGACCCCGGAAAGGGCCCCGTTTTAGAGAACTGCCCCTACAGTATCCTCATAGAAACCTTACAGAAACCCTTCTGGATGCCTTGACGGAACCCCAACAAATCCCTTTGCGGAAGCCCAGTAACCCTCGATCCATTTAAGGAGCCTAAGATATCCCTAGAGAACTACCCGCATGAACCCCTGAACCCCATTCTGCACTGAGAGCTTGACCTGTAGATGTCCTCGGCAGAGTAGCTCCTTCAAGTTTGGCGCCCGACTGCTATAGGCTCTTTAAGCTTTAGGGGTTTAGGGGATCACGGCTTCTGGGGTTTGGGCTTCGGGGTTTATGTACTTGAGGGTTTGCAGCAAGGGTTCAGTGAGTTTGGGGTTGCAGGAAGCTCAGTGGCTTATTTTGCTTTGGATCGGGCTTCCGAGTTCATTTTGCTTTGGATCGGGTTTCCGAGTTTTTTCCACTCCAACCTTCAATTCGCCTGCACATCTTCGCCTGCACATCCCTGGAAGTCTTAACCTGACTCTGTTTGACTTGATGTCTGACATCTTGTGACTTTGCGGGCGAAACATCAAAAAAACGTCATGGAAGGCTAACCCCTAAACCGCAGCGGTCCCGCTGTCTGAGCCGATGGATTCCAGCACCGAGTTCAGGTACATTCCTGCAGCGAGGGGTGGGAACCTGATTAAGAAAACTTGGGCCTTTGAGGGTTCCTCATATGAATCCTACTAAGTTGGGGATATAGGTCCAGGGCAGAAAAAGGTACTGAGGGGTTTGTAATAGTTGCTATGAGGGCTTCCTACAAGCATAAACTCCAAATCCTCCTGAACCCCAAATCCTCCAAGAGTTTCCTTTATCGGCTTCCCACAACCCTAAACCCCAAACCCCTGATCCACATAAGGGCTTACCATGGCTTGCCGGGTTGCTTCTGGCGCGGACAGCTCCATTTTCGTGTGAATCTAGGCTAGCTTAAGTTACCAAACTAAGGAAACCCAAGCAGTTTCTAGAGGTTCCGATTTATGGTCAATAATTAGGTACTCGGTTTTCGGATGGTAGTTCATGTAGGAAACGATTTTGGTGAGTATATGATTATTGGGTACCTGGACCCTTGGGGTACTTACTGACGCAACTAAAAACCTGCAACCCTACTCGGAGGTTCATGGGTAGTTATATGCGGGTTATAAGCCCCCTATATAACATGGTTTATACCTATAGCTCTCCCACTTATAACCCCACCTAGACCCAAGAGTAACCCAGGCATAAAAAGGATGCCCTTTTTGGTTTAAAGGGGCTTATAAGGGAACCTGAACCCTCAAAAAGGGAATAAGGGCCTACTCTGGGTCCTAGCCACTTATAGCTACCCATGAACCTCCAAGCAGCCCTAGCCCCTCCAGTGTAGGAGCCCCTGAGAATCAAAACTCCGCAACAAGAACCCTCAACCATAAACCCCAAAATCCCTAAACCCCTAAACCCCTAACCCCTAAACCCTAAACCCCGGAACCCCTAAACCATAAACCCCAAAATCCCTAAACCCTACAACCCAAATCTCTCAACCCCAAGAACCCCTTGTGCCTGAGAACCCCTTAACCCGAAGAGCCCCTAAGAGGTTCTAAGAACCGCTCAGCCCTGATTAGGAACCCCAAAGTACCCATAAGAACCCTAAACCCTAACTAAACCCCCTAATCCGTAATAGATCCCCTGAAGGAACCCCCTTTTTTGAAGCCCCTTAGAACCCCTGTAAGGAGCCCTTTAAGGAATGCCCTGATAAAGCCCCTTCAGGAACCGCTTAGCGGGCCCTAAAACCTGAACGAACCCTAAACCCTAGTGAAACAAGCTCCTTAAACTCCCCTCCAGTATATAGATTTTTCAGGAACCCTTAAAGGAACCCTTATATAGCCCCTTGATCCCTTCAGGAACCCTTAAAGGAACCCCCTTGCCCCTCAGATCCCTTTAAGGAGCCCTTTAAGGAACCCCCTTGCCCCTCAGAACCCTTTAAGGAGCCCTTTAAGGAACCCCCCCCCTATACAGCCCCTGAAAGAGCAGCTTCAAGTCCCCTTGTAGCCCCTTAAAGAAAGGCTTTAAGGAACCTGTTAAGGACCCCCTTTAAAGCCCCCCTTAACCCTGAACCCTAAAGCCTTGTAGAACCATAAGCACGACATGAACACCCCCTTATGAAGCCCCTCGGAACCCTTTCAAGAACCCCTTTAAGGAATCTCTCCCCTTGCAGACCCTGGTAACATTACTATTATTATTTTTAGTATGTTATTATTATTATTATTATTATTAGTATTATTGTATTATTAGTATTAATAGTATTATTAGTATTATTATATTATTATCTTATTATTGTTATTGTTATTGTGTTGATTTTTATCATGATTATCCGAATGAAAGTAACTACAATACCCAGATGGATCCCCCCCCTGCCCCGGAAGGAAGGCGCTGCCTGCTCCTGGCCAGCTGGCGTCTCGGGCTGGTCCCGCCCCGAAGCTCAACCCGGCGAAGTGCATCGGGGGATTACGGAAAGGATCATGGGACCAGGGTTCCTTAAAGGGTTCCTTCAGTGGCTCCTCAAAGGGATCTATATGGGGCTAGGGTTCAGGGTCTACTGAAAGGATCATGGGACTAGGGGTTCCTGATGGGTTCCTTAAGGGGCTTCTTAAAGGGATCTGTATGAGATTTAGGACTCCACTTGGAGGATCATGGGACTTAGTAAGTGAGGTTAGAAGTACCCTAACTAGGGTTATATACGCAATGTTACGTACAATTAGTATAGTTATTTTGTTTATAACCCTCGTTACTAAGCCCCATGATCCTCCAAGCAGGGCTCCCTTACAGGGATCGGTAAAGGATTTGCAATGCTTCGTTAAAGGGATCTGTAGGGCTTAGAGTGCAGGGCTCCAAAAGGAATCTCTATGGGATTTCTGTAGAGTCCATGTAAAGGGATCTATAGGATTAGGCTTTTGGGTGGGATCTAAAAGGGTTCTGTAGGGTTTCTATAGGGATCTATGCAGGGTCTAGGCTGGAAGGCTTTGAGTTTGGGGTGGAGGCTTTCTGGGCTTTTAAGTAACCAGGGAGAAAAAGTATAAACTTTCATTTCATAATGGTTCCACTAAGAAAAAAAGTATTAAAGTATGGTACTCCAAAGCCCAGCTTTGCGGATTCCAGGGTCTAGAGCACCGCAATTCGGCACATGCAAGACAGCCCTAGCTTCTGCCTTTTGTGTTCGAGTAGCTTCGCCAGCTCGTCCTGGTCTGCACTGCACCTGTCTGATCCTGACTGCGTAAATCATTGACGCAGGCAGGGTGACGAGGTCCCAGCGTGAGAAAACTCGAACCTCCCAGGAAAGATCCCGAGGTGCCTCGTGGGTTGTCATCAGCTACTTGCCCCATTCGGCTCGCAAGATCTTGCCAGTCTGGGTCAGGGTGAACCCTAAACCCTAGACCATATCTCTGTTTCAAATCGGGAGGAACCCTAAGGGTCCATGCAGCCGATATGCATGTGTTCCCAAAAAACACGAACCTACAAAGATTATACTATCCTAAACTCGAGTAATTACCTAAAGCTCGGGTCCTTGGTACCTTTAACCCTATAAACCCGAAACTCCTCACCCCTATATCGTAGCTCTGTTTCGTACCATTGGATCTTTGGGGGAAGAGCTCAAACTTGCACGATCTCAGCGCGATCGCAGGTGGCCGAGAGAGCCTTCGACCGTCTGGTTCTTAGTTCGGACAGGGGGAATGGGTTATTGGGACTACGATAGGGGACCTAAAGGGGCTACTATAGGGATCCTACCAGACACCAGGGAGTCAATCTGCGAGTCGCTACGAAAGGTTCGGCTTCAGGGTGGGACTTTGGGCTTTAGGTTTTCGACTTTAAAGTTGACGGTTTGTTTGTTGGAGTTGGGAGGTTCTATAAGGCGATAATTAAGGGCTAATAAGCCACTAGAAAGTTTACTATACCGGGTATCCGGCTATTCTAGGGAATACTCTCACATCACTGTATTGTCAGGGCTGTTCAGGGTTCAGGGTTGAAGGCTCGAAGGTTCGGTTAGGAGATTGGGCAGTGTTTTAAACTGTCGGTTGCGTGGAAGCAGCAGCAGCAGCAGCAGCAGCAGCATCCTATTCAAAAACAACTACTTGGCTCCCCGGTAGACCACTGAACCTTTTTCCTAGTATTTGGTGTCAATAAGGAAATCCATCAAGAACAACCCTAGACCCTAAACCTTGACCCTAAACCGCAAAGAGCCCTCAGTTACTAGTTAGTTTCAATAAGGACATCCATCACGAGAAAGAGCAGAAGGGTACTGCTGGGAACGAACCCTAAACCCTAAACCCTAAACCCTAAACCCTAAAGCCAGTAAACTTGCCCCAGAACCCTGAGGCCTCTTCTTCGGTTCATGTGCTTTAAGCTAATGTAGGGGGGCCTGAATAGTTAGACTAGGGCTCCCCTTTGAAAGGGGTCTATAAGGGTTACTATAAAGGACCTATAGTAGGGTCGTATGGTATAGTGTCGCCTTAATAGTTAGCATAGGGATTTCAGGTGTAGAATGCCATAATCATAATAGGGAACCGCCAAAGTAGTAGTCTTCGTAATTTGCTAGGCCATTGTAGTCGCATCCAAAATCTACGCAAACCAATACTACATCCACTTTAACCCTAAACCATGTAACTTCGAACCGGAATCCCCTTTAGCCCTCAACCCTAGATCGTAAACTCCAAGGGCTGTTTCTTTGAGAGACCCTACCAGCGAAACGCGTAAGGGTAAACCAAACAACAACTACGTTGATCGTTGAAGCCCAGAGCCTCCAAAAAAAACCTTCTAATTAGCGAATATACCTTGAAAACTGATAGAACCCTAATATGATTTAAGGCATATTCCTTCATGCAGGGTTGCTGTGCACATGGTGTACCTGTTTGCCATCGTCGCCATGTCCAGCGCCCCACCTTCCGTGCTTCGTTTTCATGGTCCCAGAGCCTCCAAAACCCCTGAATTAAGGAATTTACCTTAAACCTAGGGTTCCTTACTGTAAAGGGATCTGTAAAGGGATCTATAAGGAATATACCTTAAATCATAGTAGGGATCCTGATATAATTTACGGAATATTCCGTAATGGGGCTTTTGGAGTCTCTGGGGTCTAGCGAAACTCCGAATATTCTACCTGTTCAAGGTTTCCTCATGTCAGTGTTGTTGGAAGCAGCAAGAGCTAAACATCTTCAGGAGGGACTCAGATTGAACAGAAAGGAGGCACTTGGGCCAAAGCATAGCTTCCCTGAGCCCCTACTTGGAGGGTCGGGGGACTTAGTAAGTAGGTAGTAAGTAGACTTATAAGTACCCTAAAAGGGACCCTAATTGGGCTTATGGTACTTATAAGTCCCTAAAATAACCAGTTACTAAGTCCCCGACCCTCCAAGTAGACCCTAAGCCTTCGGCCCCAGGATTGCCTCAACCTGAGTAGGCATGAAAACCGCAACTTCTGTGTGCAGGACATGATATACTATGACGTATTCACACACAGTGTACTGACATGTAATAGACAATTGCCATAACCAATGTGTCAGAATATACACTTCTTCACACTTGTTCGGTATACCGAGTCATGTTAGATTACAAGCGGCTTATTCCTTACTTCCCTCCAGCGCAGCCGCCAAACACTGAG